GGGGATATAGATGTCACATCGGCGGTGCTGCCACGTACGCTGAGTTTTGTTGCAGTGTCGACTATCATCTGGCGTTTCGCATCGACCAAGAGGTCGAAATGCCTGAGAAAGTCAATGCCGATGATGGCAAAGGGGACTGCAGCGACAGTGAATACCCAGCGGAAAGTGCGCCGAAGACCTAGGTCCAGGGTAAGTGACCGATGACCATAGGTGGCTATTGGCGTGCCATTGGCGGCACTGAGGCTTGTCGACAGAGAAGTGGTAGGCTCACCTGGCATAGGGGGAATGACGCTGACTTCCGCCCCGGTATCAACTAAGAACTGGGTATCGGAGTCATAATCCCTAATGTAGATGAGACGACTTTGGGCTTTGCCGACGTTCGTGGCCATTACAGCCCGGCGTGGCGGATCATCTATAGCGGAGTAGCTACACGGCTGTACGCACTTACGGGCTTTAGTACCGAAACGCGAGTGGTAAAAGCAGTAACCTGAGGCATCAGGTTTTGTGCGACGGTGCGATGATCCAGAGCGGTTGCAGTGCTTACGTTTTAAGGTGAGTTCTTTGATCTGGCGCTGAAGCGACGCTATCTGCAATGATAATGCGTCTATTGCCGACGGAGGGCTAGTCGCGCCTGTCGTTGTGGTTGCGCCAGCGCAAAGCTGCTTGGGTGCTTTGGTTTCAGTCTCTGGTTGGTGCCGTTCGATGACGCGGTCTGCTAGATCTGCAATTGCCGTGATTGGCAAGTCACTTGCTACTGCAAGGATAGCCTGAGTGCTTGCAGGAAGGCGTTGCATCCACAGCTCGCGGAGAATCCCTACGTCCATGTTGGACGTGCCGATGAGCTGTTGCATTTCGCGCAACAAGGCTGAGGGCATCCTATCTCCTAGCTGCAGATCACTAAATAGTTGCTGCAGACGGACCTTGTCAGAAGGCGTGATTCGCTGAATAATAGCCTGTTTAAGTGTCTCGTATTTCATTACTAGAGGGGGGCAAAGTATGATGTCTCTCACCTGCGAGGATATATTCTGAGGAAGGCAAGATATTAGCTGGTTATACATGGCGAAATCAGAAGAAATCTTACGAATATAAAATACGGATTCTAAATGTAAAAACCATAATAAAGGATCATTCTCCCAAAAAGGGGGAGGGGCTAAGGCAACAGAATTGACCATGACAGGCTGAACAGCGTTAACCGCGCATGGAGACGGCTTATCCTCTAGATAATTCATTGCAAAAAGCAGATAAAAAATGTGGTAGGTGAGAAAACAATATGATCACAAGTAATGAATCACAAAATCACTGGAACGAGCTCACCAGAGTGAAAATGCAAAATGGCGGGCGGCGTGTTCCTGACAGGGGGTCACCAATTGTTGGGCGGAACCTGGGATACTAGTCGGTAAGCAATGACACGTAAGACGTGTCAAATACGACAGTATAGAAGTCGGAGGAGACTGAACCCAACGTGTATTGTGCAGGCTACAAGAATAGGAAGCGAATCAGACAGAGCGAGAAACGTGCAGCGAGGAACTCACCAAAACGGTTTGTGTCAACGGATGTGCAGTCAGTAAAACAAATGGACGTTTCGAAGGTTAAAACAACCATAAAATCCAATGTTACAAGATACTGAAAGAGCATGTTTTCTGTTGCACTACACGTTATAAATGGGCATTCTGCTAAGGTTGAGACCAACAAAATATTGTATTCAAAACTAGATCTAACTACAGCGCACTTCCCACGCCTGTTGCACTGAAATGTAAGCAAAAGGGTTAAAAACGAACAGAAAAACAATGGAATACAGCTAAACGATGCTCACAACTTGAACACCATGTTATCACCGTAGTTTAATTTAAGGCAAATGTCTTTGTAACGCAACTAAAAATAACTGGAACTATCCATCTACCCATAAGTAGTGCAAACTACCTTATAAATCGTCCTCTATTTAATTTAAAGCTTGTTTTACTTAAAATGACATCCATACATTAAAATACGTACGTTGGCCTGGAAGTAATCAAATGTAACGCTGTTTCAAAATTTGGAATCAATCGGTGCGGATTTTTGGGAGATTACCTCTAACGACTCACCTGGAAAAATATATATATATATACATATATATACATATAAATATATATATATATATAGGCTTGCATGGGGCCGTCACTTGATGTCCCTTATCTACTCCATTCACTAGGGCTCCAGATTAATATGGGTTTGGATTTCCTCGGTTTCAAGGATGGTCGCTGTCTGATTGTCATCAATGCCAGATGCCACGATCACCCTAGCAGCTCCGCAGCGCCTAGTTCTTCTTATCTGGTTGTCTGCAAAAGTAGCGGGGAAACGCATCTCTCCGTTTCACGATATGGACTCTGTCCATTATACAACAAATTAGGTGATGAGTATCTACTTGTCAGAACTACGGGGATATTGTTCAGTCCTGGCAAAACGTAAAGTTTACTTGGACTACTAAATAGGACTGATCTTTAATAAATTTATCACAAAAAGTGGACAAATGTGTAAGGGATGGGTTGTCATGGACCCATTTTTAACGATGAAATCAGGATAGAGTTAAGCGTTGCTCCCATCTGACTGCGATATTGTTTATGCGGTACACTATTCGGTGTCTGTAGTGGCATACAACAGAGTAGTTGTACCAACGGTGCCTTATTTGCAGAACCCGGCTTTTGTTATGCTTATCCAACTCCACTAAGGACATAGGGCCGCTGCATTTCGCAGCTTCTGTGGACATTCAAAATGACGTAATAAAGCTGAAGTCAGTTTGACTTGGTTGCTGTTTCCATTTGGCAACCAACCACTAGTCAACCGCTGTGTGCAGTGTAGTATAGAATCAGTTGGCCAAGTCAACCACTTTGGAGTTATAGGTGTCTTTCAGTAGTGCTGGAAGAGAGCAGTTTCGAGCAGCCTCCCTGTTTAGCCTCAATAATATTTATACATTCTCCGTCGGGTTGAATGCACTTGTTGCCAATGTGATTGGGAATAACTAGTACCTAACGTGCAAGTAAAATTGAGTTCAACTCGATTCATTTTCTACATTATCATGAGCGTTTGTTCCGGAGGAGGAAGTAAACAAGAAAGAGGTTATGGTGTTCACTTACGCAAAATGTTTGCTTGGAGAAAAGTGCCATTTTATACTAGCCCAGATAGCCGTCATCAGTAATCAGATGATTGCGCTTTTAATTACGCAAGATTTTCCAAGTGTCCGTTTGCTTCTTTTTAGGCTTCGTTCATTGTGCCCATACGTACCCAAGCAGAAATATCATAGATGAAAACCATGTTCAGAACGATTGGTAATTATTCTTTTGCACCTTTCAAGTTCATATCTTATTATCGCCCCCTGTTCAATAGAGTACAACAATACAACCTCCGGTAAATAGTATATGAGCGTGGATACTGTACAGAAACGCAAAGAGGACTGCCATCTCACTAACTTCCATTCAGATCAACAGTTGACACTAGGTTCATGCTAACAGCATTCCACTTGATCCCTGCGCAAATGTTGTAATTTTTGCGTCCTTTTATCCGTGAGAATTTTACGGTACGTCACACTCGTTTAACAGACTTAGTTGCTTGTTCGTAACCAAGTTTACTTCAATGTAGATACCTTAACCACCCCTAATGCTCTGAACGATTGGAAATCGGTGAGAATATTTGTAGCTCAGGGTGCGGATGAGGGTATGCAGGTGTTCTCCGAGCTGGCTGATTTGGCTGCAAACGTTTCATCGTCAGCCTGGACGATATCATCAGTGCGATTGATGCGGGCCACATATAGATCCAAGTGATTATTGATTATTGGTGTATGCACCAAGGATGGTTTTGATGAAGCGATGAGCCGGTCACATTCATTTTTCTGGTAATTTGTTTCGAGAAGTACGCGTTCAGTTATGGTAATCAAAAATTGCTGTTTTTCTTGGCGTTGCTACTTTTGCGATTCTTCTTCATGCTTGAGATCTGTTGTACGAACTTTAACCACCTGTTCCCAATTTGAGTAAACAAAAGCTGCTTAAAAGGCTACTGTGGTTTTTGCAGCAAAATGCTTGTATATGCTTTCTCTCGATGGTGTTCTCACAATGCGCCTGCTTAATTAGTTAAACCTTTCGCATGCGACAGAAACTACTCGGTCGTCAATGGCCATCGATCTACCCACCGCATGGCTCTTGATGACACCCATTTTAGCCTGATTGCTCTGTGTGGTAATATGAGATGCTTCAAACGTCCAGTTCTAATAGGTACGTCCGTTTGGAAAATTGAACTTCTCCATGAACATGAGCTGCTTGCCCAGTCAGTAATCGGTCGAGGAGTTCGTACTCAATACACTCCCGTCCTTCCTTGCATAATAAGTCCGTTTCCCATGTATCCTCAAACTGCCGTCTAATTTTTATCCCGACAAGGCCTATTTTCGCGTGACTTTTCCTTTTTAGTAAAAGTTTATTTCCTTATGGTGTCCGCGCTGTCAGTAGAATACAAGCACCAAATTTGTTTATCTTCAGTAACAAACACAAGTCACATGTGAACTTTGCTCTTATCCTCAGGCAACCTGTTATTATCCATGCTAGTATCATTTGAACTGAATTTCTACATCCATAAGTTGTTTCTTTTGATCAGCAGATCCCGATCTACTTTCCGCTTATCAAAATGCATTTCTGATTTTAATTGTTGTTGTTATTGAGGCATTGATTACACTATACTTGTTTGTTATAAGGCGCGCTTCGCTGAACCATTTCGGCTGTCAATAGCATTGGCTGCAAACTCTGATAATTAAATCAGTAAGGATGCATCAATATCCAAAACAAGGGAAGTCAATAGGAATTCGTAACAATTATCTATGTACTCCTTCTCCTACACTAGTCTTTTCGTTCTTACACAGCCCTATTTTATTGAACAGGACACGTCGATTTTTGAAGTATTTTTGTTTTGCAATTATTGAAATGCTTCGATGTATACTGTACATGCTTATGAGATATTTCTGTACCTTTCATGCAACCAAGGGACACAGACAGAACGCCCCTGTCAATCTACCAGTCAAACTTCCATCTACCACTACTTTCCAACGATATGCTGGATCGGTAAGCACACTGGTCTTTTACATTGAACCTATGCCCCGCTGGCATTGGACATTTTGCTTTTCTCATTATTATAACCCGATACTGTCGTAAAGGTTCAACCAACAGTTGTTCCTATTTTATATTACCATATTGCCTACATTTCTGTTCGGTAATCATGTGCTTCGGGTTCGCCAATGACGGGAGCATGCAACTCCTTCAGGCAACTCAGGTTCCTATGGGTGAACCTTAGAAAGTCCCCAATCATCGGTAGCATAAACGCCAATCATATCAACCAGATTCCTAACGTGGTAACGGGTTTTCGATTGAATTATACCCTTTTACGTACGATATCTTCCACTGATCTCTCACTAGACGGCTATCGTTCGCGTATGCTTGCACTAGTGCCTTTGGGCATTCGTGCTGTAGCAGTTGTAGCAACGCAGCAACTGACCCGAACTAAGGACTCTACAATACTATTAAGAAATAGATGCCCTTCGTTTGGTCTAACTACAATGTGCATGCTCTCACCGATAAATTACGTCAATCAAGTTGACCTTCGAATTACTAAGCTGTGCTATTTGAATTATGATTATTTCAGATCGAAAATCTCAGATGTGTTTCCGATGAAAACAGTCTCCTGTTAATGTGGTCTCCGGCTATTCAACCCACATCCGCGACTTCGCACGATTTCAAAAGTGATGAGAGATTGGAGGTTGATCATTATCTGGTCAAATGGGGTAAACTCTACCCCGGTCCAAATGTCATCAAATTGGCCCCCAATCAAACACGCTTTATGATTGAAGACCTAGGTAGGTCACCCGCTACGCGCTTTGTGATATTGAGAGCTATTGTTCGCAGTCAAAACAACTTTCTTAGAACGTTGGCAATACCGAAACACAAGCCCTTTTGTGTCGTCACTTTACAGTAGGAAACTATCCATTGCGGTACTCAGCGGTTTGGTTTTCAGGCCGCAATTCACAAAACCTGCCCAAGCAGGTTGTACTCTGTACGTTTACGCCCCCGATATTCCAGCTGCGTCACAAACAAGAAAAAGAGAGCTTTTAAGTAATTTGCAGAGCCCAGCGTCTTGTCCACTGAACCCAGGGTAGTTCAGTCAACCGGGGTACTGTAGAATCGCAGAAATATTAAACATTATTATCTCCATCCTCTTATGGTCAGTTACCTCTGGAGAGGGTAAGTCCAAATCTGTCGCTCGATTTGTAGCACATGCGTAGACACTGATCATACACTTGTGTGTGCTGATACGGGGAACGGATAGTATTCCTGGTGCAAATTTATGTGACGTGAGTGAACAGCCTACGTACAACTTATTAAAATGTTGGAGTTGAGCTGAGCACTTTGACAGGCAATTTATTCGGTAGGATTTGTCATATTTTTCGCCGGCTCATGATCCCCGTGCTCCATGGGCTGTACCTTTGGATGCGCCCTTACGTTCAGAAGTCAAACATGAGAGTGAACTGCTGAAATTTTACAAAGATGCAGGAGCAGTTGATCTTCTTCTATCCCACTTCAAATTCGGGGGGTCTGCCCTTGTGTATGATTTACACTGGTTATTAGTGAAAAGGTAGCAGCAGGAAACTGTCCCAATCACCCGGAACCGCTCTGTTATTAACCCTATCTTCAAGGCTGGCTAACGTTCGCAATGCGGCAATTATAGAGAAACCTATCTGATCTCCATCGCCTCCAAGTTATTTGCCTCTGTCATCCTTCACTGATTGACTGGCATTCACGAAAGACATCTTCTTGAGAAGCATGCCGGGTTTCGTCGAGTTCGGGCCTGCATCGACCACATAATCACTTGTCGCCAATTGTTAGATCACCGTTAGATATATTGACGACCAACTGTTGTCGTACTCCTCGACACCAAAAGCAGCTCCTTTTCGGTGATTCTCTATGGTCTTTGGGACTGTCTACTATGGAAAGGTGTGCCCGACAAGTAGATAAATACCATAGCAGCGCTTTATGCGCATAGCTCGAGTAGAGTGAGGCTTAACGGCAAGCCGTCACGGCCATTCAATATCACCAACAGTGTGAGGCAAGGTTGTTCACCATCACCTTTCCTCTTCAATTTCACTATTAACGAAGTCATGGAAATCGCGTTCACTGGATGCGAAGCAGTGGGTGTGGAGTTTCTCCCAAGTGAACGACTTGTAGTATGCTGACGACAATGTGACAAGCTAAAGTAGACAGATTAGCGCTGACTCTCAGCCCTTTCGGACCTTGTTTTGCACCATGAGAGTGCAAGCATTCCTTCAAAATTGTCAGGGACTGCTTCCTGCGCTGAGGCTTGGTGGGATCAACTAAAAATTAAGTAACCTAGACATTTGCATTCCCGCCTATGAAATCAAGTTGCTGTCACGAACTGTATAACAAAAGATCAAAGTGTTTTGCTAACCTTCACTTCTTCTGGCACCTGCAAGATATCACTCTTTCCCTGGAGGGTAGAGTGTATAGTGCAGCCGTAGGTTCGACGCAACTGTGTGGTTGTGAAACCTGACCCATTAGGTCAGCCGACAGAAATTGGCTAGTTGCGTTCGACGACCGGTGCCTTCACAATTTGTCGCAAATCTGGTGGGAACACGGTATGAGCAATCAGCGTGTTCGAGCCTTTGTTTAGAGAACAGAAAGAGGAGGGGAACCGCTGAGCACCGTTATTTCTCGAACCAGGCTCCGATGGTTGGGCCAGGTGTTGCGCATGCCAGCATACCGGCTCCCACGTCGTAGGTTGTTCGCGCGCTGTGGATGTGGATGCAGGAAGAGGTGGGAGGCCAACCGATGACTTGGTCAAGCGAAATGAAATCCCTTACCTGGAAGTTGGCCTCGGTTAGAGCATCTCGACTCTCTGGTTGCGGCTGGAAATACCATGAACACTTTTGGTTCGACACACTAGTTGACCTGGCTAAGAGCTGACCTCCGTGAGGTGTGTGTTGTGAGTTTCTTTGTCTCTCCAGCTCCAGCCTAACCTCCCTTTGTGAACACCATCTCATTTCCCATTTCGCGACACAGTAGCCGACTGCTACCTCTCCAGACTGTTATCCATCCGTTGCTGTTGGCTCAGATAGCGTGACTGTGTTGCGTATTTCTTTCCTTCTCATACATTGCCGCGCAATAGCTGAGGTGTGTTTCACCTCTAGCTAACATGTATGAGGATGATCCTGATTTCTCCCTAGATTTTTGTCTACTAAAAGCACAATCAACCGCATACATGTTCTGCTAATAACGGGTTTACCGCCGAGCAATTTCCGCACCATTCGCCTTGTTCTCTTTTACGACTGAAATCTGAAGTAAATAAGTAAGTAAGTAAATAAGTAAGTAATCTGCACTACTTGTCATCTTCCAACCGGTAAATGAATAGTAATTGTTAGCAATTCAACCGTCTACGAATAAGCTCCGAAGCAGTTAAGCCGTTCCAAATGTGTGTGTACCGCTTTTTGATTCTTAACTCACTTCAGGATATCTTGTTCATATATTACCTAAATAACGCCCGTGTCTTTTGACCTAAATTCATATTGTTTCTTCGTGTAATAGGAGGCTAGCCAACCTGAGCTAGAGGAGCCGGCTTTTCTTAATGTCCGCGCTAATTCCGGTTCTCGCGAGTCTTTCTGGTCTCTTGCTTTACCTTCCATCTGGAACCTTTATGGCTGAAAATGCTATCACACCGTGTTTCCGCTACTACCTCTGTAGCTCACGGGCCTGTCGGCCTACCAACTTAACCTTTTTCCTACAGTAAATTCGAGCATACTAGCATATGTCGAGAAAGGTTCCATACTTAATGTTTCTTCACATAAATCGGTAAAGTAGCAAATTGTGTTCAAGTAGTTATGACAACACTTTTTTCGTTCCATGATACACCTGTGTGTGCTCGGTGTCTTGTGTACCTGCAGCACGTTTCGCTTGTTTTTTAGTCTGCAGCTTTCATTTAACTTCCTCATTGATCTCCCAGCTTACTTAATAGATCTTGTTGAACCATTCTAGATACGGATACCCCATATCTAATCGATGTGACAGCTGTATACAAGGACGATCATGTCGCATCGGCGATGGTTACTTGCCGCACCAAACATGCACAAAGTAAGCGAATGAAACACTCGAAAAGGTACCTAAATATCATAATTGTCATTTTAAAAACAAACGATATACGCGTGATGTCATGTTACATAAATAGGTTGGCGCGCATCTCCCCACTGTAGGGAACAATCCTCTCCAAATGACTTGCGCATATCAGTTGAATATCGTACTATCTAAATGCAATTGATGTGCGTAAAATATTCACACAATAGCGGAAATTTTGTAGGTCACTAAGCTTTCTACAGTATACGCATATAAAGAAAGGACGCTAGGTTTTATTTCGTTAACCGTTAGTGCATATGAAAAGTCCATTCTTATCTGCTGTTGGCGTCAGTGGCAAGAAAATAGAAAATCCTGAAAATTTCTACTTCGTATGTAGCACTGTGGAGCGATACATATGCAATTCAGACAATACCATACTCCCTGTTACTTATGAATGGAAGGATTTTGACGAGTATTTTTGTTCGTCGCAATCAGCCGACAATTCAGATATGTCGACCAGCTGTCCGGAAAAGCACCAGACGGCCGTTTCGCCCTATTGGGGCTCATCAGTGGTGCGCATCCTTCGGTCCACTGCGGAGGATCGAACCCATGACTGCTAGTGGTTCTTGCCAACTAGCCCGCAGCTTATGCAACTGCGCCATGGAGGACGGTATCTGACTATCGTGAATTGTTAGCTAAATGCGATATAGCCCGACGCCCGTACGGATTCCACAAAATGCTATGTCGATTCATAGCTGCCGTAACCGGGAAGTCCTGACGCCGGAAGGCCGACCGCTGTCATCTGCATGGCAGGTGCCTGCATGGCAGTGGAGGATGCGTCGGGCTATATCGCATTTAGCTAACAATTCACGATAGTCAGATACCGTCCTCCATGGCGCAGTTGCATAAGCTGCGGGCTAGTTGGCAAGAGCCACGAGCAGTCATGGGTTCGATCCTCCGCAGAGGACCGAAGGATGCGCACAATTGATGAGCCCCAATAGGGCGAAACGGCCATCTGGTGCTTTTCTGGACAGCTGGTCGACATAGCTGAATTGTCGGCTGATTGCGACGAACAAAAATACCATATTCCCTGTGCTCAAGTCAGATTGCTCGTAAAAACCCCAAGTTCTTCATTTTTGGCTAATAGAACACAGTTGACAGAGCTCAGGTGTGACAAAATGAAAATAGACAGAAAATGTAATTTTTCTTTGCTGTATGTTGCGTGAATTCCTTGGAGTGGAATAAGATTAGAGGATGTACACTGCGTGTCGTCAGCGGATAGATCGGGAATCGAGATTTACTATAAATACCCCTGTAGATATCGAGGCCATTTTCCAGTAATCGTTTGATCAATTCCCTCTCAACGGTCCACTTATGATATCCAGACACACCTGTAATTGTGTTTCTACTGACACGTTGTTGTTCACCTTTTTGAACCACGGATTATGCAGGCAGATACAAATGTCGTTACCAGCCTCATCCTACCTTGGCGAAGTCAGTGAAGGTCTTGCTCTAACCGGAGTGCATGTGAATCTAATGCTCTCTGGATGCAACTTGTTCTCGATCTTTTTCAAAACCTCGCCCCATTCTAAGATAATTTACTTGATCTGAGGAAGCTTTACTGGCAACAACGAAACCTCACCCAACAAATACATTCACGGGCTAGTTGGATGGTCTTATTGAAGTACTCGTGTGAATGGATTGCGATGCCCAATCTCAGTGTAGACCGCGATTCACATTGAAGTGAAATTTGGTTAGTGCTATCACTGGAAGCGTAACTGATGAAGCAGACCTGCATTCTTCTACACTAACCGTTGTTCACAAAGTTTCCGGAGACACTGACTTCCCGATCGGTTCCAAGCTTATCCCAGGATATCGTATGTAGCCGGTTTTAAAGCAGCAGGCGTCTTTTACCAGTTAGGTCTGGATACCTTCCAACATCCTTCATTTGATAGGCATGCGTGAAAAATGCATCCAAGTATAAGTTGAGGTGTAACATCGAACCTGCAAGTTTTAAACTGATAATGCATTATATAGAGATCCCTTAAACCAACACCGTCGTTTTATGTACGTTTCAGTGTGTATGAGTGACATTTTATCCCGGTTTGTTTTGAAGTTTTTATTTACCGCCTGTGTTTATTGCAGATTCATGTCAGATTACCTGAGACATGGAAAGAAAAGGGAGTCGAGTTTAGCATCATCAGAGCGACAAGCATTAAAATGTTATTTTATCCGGTTAGCCAGCTGTCTTTCATTCTTACTACTAGATTGATGCCATAAACTCCTTCAAAATGTGTTCAGATGTGATGAGTAAAGTGAAATACAGAGAGAGAGACATAAATGACTTAACAAAGTGGAAAACACCTGAAGTGTGTACCAATCGATTGTTATGGCCGAACCACAAGTGGTCGCGTATTGGTGGTAGTGGATGCGGGGGAAATGTCAGGAGGGGCGATTATAAATTTATGGGCATCAGCACTATACAACTTAGTGCACGTGAACAAGGTGAGTTTTGAGCGCATTCTTCAAAGCTCCGTACATGTGTGACATTTTCTCACCTGACGAAACCATATGTTGCCTTCCAATGCTCCTATGCCAGAAGAAAGATATATTCTACTTGTAGAGGATCTCACAAGAAAATGAGAAAGTGCATTTTAGTGTATCTTTGGAGTGTCAACAGACTGGACTAATATGGATTTTCTTAGTACGGCGCAGACATTTGTTTTTTTGACCAATTCGAAGTACAGTTGTCGTCTACTTATGATCCGTTGGTTTCCTTTTCCCCCATTTATCATCAGTGCAAAAACAGCTCCTCATCCCCCTAAACTTGCACTTGGTATCTTCGGGACCGGACTGGGCAGTGTTAGAGTGGGACGAACCCCATTGTCCCGAAACCCACGAGCGTCCTCCTTTAGAGACTGTGTGCCCGCGTACCGGGCTAATGCAAACATATCAAGTTGCATACAGGCGCACAGAGTCCGATGATGGGCACCTTACCGAGCGTCCGTATGAAGAAGATGAGGGTGTCGAGGCGCAGGTTGATGATTTCTGGAATAATGCTGCAGTTGATGTCTCCGGTAGTAAGTATGCAAATTTGACCTGCACTCCTGACTGTGGTACCTTATTTTAGTCTTTCCGCTGGGTTTTCGCTCTTAGGTTCCTTTTGGTCACTGCTCATATCGGTACCACTTCTGATTATTCATTGAACTTAGTGAAAAAGGAGATCCTTTTTAAATCTGGTAGATCGTATGCTCGTGTTCTGGTTTCTGCGAATCTAGAATGTACCCTAATCAGTCCGCTGTGCAAGTCCTATTGTTTTCCCAGACTTCCGTATGTGTCTATGATAGCACTATTTTTGTAAGTCTGAGTTTGCCAAGATCGTATCCATATTGAACTTGATTTTGGAGCTTCTACTACAGGGGACCACACACTACGCATTCGTTTCCTCGGTATTCATTTTTTATTATTTCCACAAACTTGTCAAACAATGGTTTACATTATATGGTCAGTGATCTCCCATAGGAGTTTTTTGAAAAGGCTCCAACTGCGGACTCTGTGTAATGTGCCTTACCATCCATAGTACTGCGAGTGATTTAAAAAGTCACTAAGACCCAGCTGACTGACCGAAATGCCAACTAAAACGCAACTGTTTCTCTTGACACCTAGAAACCGCTCCCACAAAGGAGCGGATTATATCCTAATGTAGGAGTGTCATTGGTTGGTAGGGATACCTTAGATACATTCTGGTCAACATCTTCCTTTGAAGCGGATGCTGTCATTTCCATCAGTTCACGGGCATTCTCAGTTGGTTCGTTACGGTGCATATCTGCAGGGCTATGATGACAGCAATTTCATGAAAGGGGAAGAAACGATTGGAGACGTCAACCATACTCCGACAAGTAATTCGCAATTGTGGATAAAGACTAGCGGAGAAGACTAAATTATTACGTGACACTTTTATTGCTAGTAGCTTTAACCCTTTACTTGGAGCAGTTGTGACCAGATAATAAAGGAATGAGAAATTTATAGTTCATCTATCACTGTGGCTTCTTGTGTGTCTTCAAAGATTCAGTTTCCTTAGCTGTGATGTGAGGAAGTATCCACAAATGGGGAATTAAAACAGAGTGAAGCGCCTAATTCTTCGTAAATTTCGATGTCAGATAAACATAGACGTGGAATCTTGTATTCCTAATTGGTCGAGACACGGCAGCCTCAATAGTTTGCCACTCAGGTTGCAATTTAAGGTGGAGCTTCGGGGTTTGCGTGGCCATGTAACGGAAAAAGTAATGTTTACATGGTGGAGATAAAGCATTACAGTTGGCTTCTTACGGAACTCACTTGAGGGGCCAATTATCAGATTGGCATCGCAGAACATAATGTGAAGTGCGTTGAGCAGTGCATGAGATGGCTGCTGTATCTTCTCCATTCCGGTCTTCAACTGTAGGTGAAAATATACGCTTTCCATCATTAAATAGCAAAATAGCACTGCTAATGAGAGCAGTGCACACAGTAATTCGCTAATCTTTTCCTTTCGGCACGCACTTAAACATGCCAACTGTCCGGTTGGCACGGCGAAGCAATATGTTGAATGTTCACTATTTGTGTGGGAAGTTAGAGATACAAGGTTTAGGCTTTTGTAGCCATCAGCTGTAGATTGGATTTCAAGGTTAGCACGTCTTAGTAGAAGAGAAGGGATGTTGGGATGGGTGGAGAGGTATCTTCTCCCATGTTGTTTGCATGAATGATTACGAAGATCTATGTAGGTATTTGAGAACCGAATGATTTGCTTTATTCTGCACATTAAGAGAAGCCTCACAATTTGTTTCACTTAGTCTCTCCCTTACCCGCAGTTGTAATTTCAGCTTGTTCTATGAATGAACATGTCGTACCATGAAAAGGTTTAAATGGATTTTATGTTTCACCTTTTGGTTAAATAATGTGCAACCGCTATTTCATATATGATAGTCAAATGCATTTTTCTAGGTGAGAACCGCTACGGTCGAGTATACCTGGGAACACATACTTATTTTAAAAACGAGTTCATTTCTTGTTCAACGCATCTGGAGTATGTCTAATTATAGGTGGTGACAGCAATCTTCCTGTTTAATAGCGGTAGACGGTCGAATGAATGCTCTCATTAACTCAGTTGCTCATTTGTTCGCCGAGCTCAGTAATGATCACTGAATATTTTCTATAGCTACTCAATCTGTTTACGTATGTGACTGTGGATGGTTGCGTGATGATGCAACATCGGGCTTCGTGGATAATTAAAGTAAATAATGATATGAGCTTGTAGTTACCTTGCTTTTGCTATCTGATCTAAAGCATGCTTGGAAAACTTGAAGAGGTACATTATGGTGTCTTTAAGTCCTGTACTGAGTGGGAGTTTGGAAGTTTGATACCAGCAAGTGTGGTACGTCCTCAGGTACGCGGCATCTTTGCCTAATAATTTACGCTTTTTCAGAAAAACATTTTGTTGACTAAGAATTCAGTGAGAACCAATCAGTATGTGTGTTGCTGACGTACTATGAAGTGAAAATAAGCAAACATGTTTGACTCCATGCGCAGTTAGGTATACTCATCCGTGATTTTTGCAATCACATGTTATTTATTTACCTAAAGTAAAGTAGTGGATGGATCCGCTTGTAGCTTCTTTTAAGGCGGATAAACCCCTAAGCAATTCCAACCCGTTGTTTCCCATCTTTTAAGTAGGGTTTGTACCAGGTTGATAATGAGTTACCGACAAGGTGACCATCTTTGAGCATTGTGTTTACAATGGACATGCTAGTGGGGTGTAGAACTTTTTCGATGTCAGATTTCCTCAGAACCAGGATGAAAGGTGGGAATAATTTGTGTGCACAAACACACGAATTTAACATCGTACTGGGACATGTCAAAACGGTTGATGTGATAAGCAACCCGAAAGACGGTTAATAGTTACCGCCAGAGTGATGTGACCGCTGTTCTCCATATGGCCACTTTTTTCTGTCACTATCGTTTGTTATTATACGAAAGATTAAGTTTGCGCCAAAAAATATTCGAGGCAACCACTTCTCTACTTTTGTAACTTGCGAAGTTAAATCAGCGGACACTGCACCTGTTCAGCAACGTGACGAAAATCCTCAGCAATATTCACTCGCATGATTTCCCTGGGTATTTTCCATTTGATACTTACTTACGTTCTTGATAAATTCATCTCATACACCTCCCTATTATCACGAAGGTTGTAAAGGTAAACTGAATAATCTTTATTTTAACCCGACTTGGTTTGATTAGAATTATGTGTCTCGGTAGGTCATACTGTGTGTGTAAGAGGGATTGACGAGTTAGTCGATTATCTCGTGTGAGTCCGCACAGGTTGATGCGCTGCTAGTTTACCGGCATCCAACTTATTATGCTGGCTGTTTCTTAAGTGCTACATAGTTATTCTAGCTTTTGAAATTTCTCCACCTTGTTAGCCTACAGGCTCCAGACGCTTTTGCTTGGTGACTTTCGAATAATGTCAGACCCACGCCGACCGTCCCAATCCAACCGCACAATGACAGCAGTCTGTCGTTGCCCCTCCAACATGCCTTGACTTCACACATTGTTTGGTGATCAAGGTTGTTGGTGCGTTTGTGCTTCATCGTGCCATCGTGATTGTAGATGCTAATTATTAGCATCGGCTTTTCTTTTAAGCACACGCCCTCCATTTCATGTCTAGAACCTTCGTGTCCCAAAACACTGAACTCCGATTAAGGGTCCCTTTTCAGTTGGACACGTATATCGAATAAGGCATGTGGTTAATATGCTAACACAATATTTTTCCTACCTAACCATCGAATTCCGTTCATATGAACGTACGCTTCCGTCGTGTGATCAACTAGTGATTTTGCCTGACGTCGTGACAATCACTGCAGTCAGTAAACGATCGCTGAGGTCCATGCACTTGAAAGCATATTCTCGCTGATAGGTTCATAGCACATAGCTCTGCTATTTTGCGCATGTGGTTACCTGTTATCCACGCGCTAAACCGACTTTTGTCAGCGATACTTTTCCATAGACTACTGGAACTAGATTTTATACCACTTCTGCTGCCTCTATTGTCTATCGGTAAAGCGATTTTCTCCCCGCTTCGTTCATCAAGCCTGGTAAGTGTTCACCTGATGTTGTGAGTACTTCACATTCAAACTGTGGCTGTACTGTACCTCCTTTACCGACAGGTCTCAACTGTTGTAGAATGCTGGCGTTAGCTACTGTTCATTACTTCTTTTAATTAAAAAACTTTGCTTACTGATCCAAAAAATCACAAAGTTGATAAGTGATGCCTATCTCTTCTGCGATTGTTTATGATCGTGGAATTTCATGAGCTTTTCCGAGGTTACCAAGCAATTTCGAATGATTTTAGCGCTTTTCCCCCTTTGCTTCATAGTATCAAGTCTATTGTATACTACTAAGCAAACATTTTTACCATTCTCTCGCCAATGCTCAACACCGTAGGCCTACTGACAGTGTTGAGCTCTCATGAAGGTGTTTGAACCATTACCTAGCTCATACTCCATAGAAATTAATCAGCTCTTCTCTTGGGATTTGTAGAAATCCATCGGGCTATTTTGATGTCTACCAAGTGGAGTATGTATACCCATTTGCGCATTTTCTGCAAGCTTATCTCTTGTGTCCTCATTCTTTCTGCGTAATCCGATTGTTGATACTTTCCCATCCATTTGTGAAAGCAGTACTTGCGCCATCTCTCGGACCTGGGGACCCTGCTGATCTACACGTCATTAACGTATCACATGCATGGGTCCGATTGGAAAATTTGACCCCTGATCAAAGTTATTCCGCTGTTGTACGGGCCATAAGTGTCGAGAACGCATCCAACATTGAGAAAACCTATGGAAACCTTCTATTCAGCGAGTGGAGCTTGGCAGAGCGTTTCGATACAACAAAACTCAGTACGCGGCTTTGACTACACTGGTTTTTCTGTGAGCATTTTCAGTGTTATTCCCAACTGTATGTGCAAATATTAGTCGCGCACTGTAATTATCCACCAGTCTGGCGGCACAACGTCCTCTGTTTTGAGCAATATCATTGCTGATGCCGTCCATTCTCGCCTCAGGTTACAGCCTGGATATTTCCGCACTGAGCGACTGGCCTCATCATTGTGAGTTGGGCTGTTCGGATAGGCTGCGAAAGTTAATTAGGAAGCGGAACCGAAATCTCGTGTTTACCGACCAACACATACCGCTTGGTTACTGGTTTCTGCAATCAATACTTGTTACAGTGATTCGACAGTCATTGTTAATTTACAGACCATTCAATGATTTACTGAATTGCGACCCGGCATCTATGAGAACTGTACTTTATTCTGCCATTATTCTTGATCGTTCCTCTGACAATGTACAAGTCTCCTGAGGTAGGCGACTAACTTTGCGAACGAAATTCATCGGGAAAACTTCGATGAGTAACTTCGTGTTGCTCCCTAAAATTGCTTTGTTCTTCCACACTTTGTTAAGAATGCTGATCAGTATGAGATGGAGAAATTCATTGAACAGGACAACAAACTTTTCTCCAAGGCACCTTGTTCCGTTACTTCCCGCCTGCACAGATGGCAGTACTCGTTGTTTCTGTAACACACAATAATCAACAGCTGGCAGATCTGTCCTGTTGGTCCTAAACACTCACGGCGAATCAGCTTGGTCGCGTTGGCTGAGGACTGTGACTGGTGTGTATGCACAATCCAACTTATGATGTGCTGTCGACTGAGGGCTCGTGTCATTTGGTCAGCCGACTTGTTGACATCTGAAAAATCAACCCATCCATTGTATGGGTTTCCCTCGCAAGAGCTCAACCACTCGTGTAAATAATACACGCTACTACAGTCCGTTCTTATTCGAAGCACACGATATTAATTTACAATCCAGATATTACCAGTAGACGCTCCTCATGAGTTTACCGTGGGCCTATCAATCATCTGCACCATATGATAATCACAAATTCCGCAGTTTTATTACCAGCGCTGGGCATCTTTCACAGAGTAATTTAACTGTGTTTGTTGCTGCCGTGCAATACATTCTCTAAAGCAACCACAAAGATTTCTTTAAAATTGTTACGATTGAGGGAACGCCTCTGATATGATTGTCACTAGCACTCTAGTGTGCTCGTTCGTCTCCACACCTGTGGGCCACTTCGGTAATCAGTTACCGCTACAGGACCCATGGAACTGCCGTTATGTTAAGGTCGTAAGATGCACGTCAATCCTGCGTTTCAACATGATATTTACACTTCACTTCAAGTGATTGATAAGCTTGAAGTATCGAGTGACCCTACGGCCCTGATACGAGCTGCCAACGAGCATTGCATACGCATAGTAAGCATACAGTATAGAAGCAATTTTGCTCCTTCAACAATGTCTTCGGAATTACCTACTTTCCGATGACAAAATGTTTTCGAGTAGTTGCCAAGTCGATAACAACATGTGTCACGGCGTGCACACAAGACTGCTTCTAAGACTAGCTGAAACAGTGGTCCATAGAAGGATTGGTGGGAGTGGTTGCCTTTGTAAATGATTGCAAACACATTGTAGGAACGCCAGTGGGTGAGAAAACAGTGTTTGTCTGTTCCAAGTACTCACCTGAATTACCAGAGCAAAATGCCTGCGTCACCACTAATATAAGTCTTGCGTCCTTTCTAGTCATTGTGGCCCCTTTAGATTTTTCTTTGTTGAGTAATGCCGATTTCATGGGGATAGCATGCCAGTCCATGGACGTAATAGGAAGGTTCCATCTGCATTGACTGTGCTTCCAATGGTTCCGTTTGGAGATCCACTTGTCAAAGCGTCTCAACACGTATGGGCGACTAAATTGAAGTGAAGCCTAATTATCTTATGAATACATAGCTTCCTATGACCTTTACATAACGCGATACATGGAGACACTGAAGCGATAACTGATTAACAAAGTCGCCCATGGGTGTGGAGACAAACGAACACTCACTAACGTCGTGTCAACGCCACACTTGGAATCCTCTCATTTTTTGTTGAGTCATCAACTGTGATAGAAGTAAGCAAACATAGAACTTTCGTTGTTCAGCTTCGGGTTGGTCTACCAACTTCAATGGGAACAATGTCCCCCATGATCGTCGCAATAACAATCGCGTAAAATTGTATAACCCCCTAGCAGCCATTGATGAACTGCGGAATATCAGTTAGATTATTGCTCGTCTACGCCACCATGGGCGACCACATGGAAGTGAAGCCTAATTATCCTAAGAATACATTGGTTCCTATGACCTTTACATAACGCGATATAAGGAGACACTGAAGCGATAACTGACTAACAAAGTCGCCCATGGGTGTGGAGACAAACGAACACTCACTAACGTCGTGTCGCCGCCACACTTGGAATCCTCCTACTTTGAACAATGTCCTAAGATTCAATGACGCTGTTATCCAACCAGGGAACTTGCAATCAGCGCACAACGCAACCACTACATTAGCGATACATAGCTACACGATTCACTTCAGCGTACAACCCACTGGAAGATCACAACAGGCGGGCTCTGCAACTTGAACGGCCACAACAAATCCATTTGTACGCTAGTTCTACGCTTTTCTAATCTCGTTCGCGACAGTTTTCCTATTCCCTGCCGCAATTAACTGCAATTGTTGGAATGAGGTCGTCGACTAACCATTGCTTGTCCGGCGAAGACGAAGTCATCCACGAAACCGCGTTACATCACCTCTGGTCCTCCGCACAAATACTTGGCACGCAACCCTTAGCGAAGTACTGCGGCCTACGCGACTTCGCACGAACAGACATGCGCCGTTTGCAACACGGTTCACTCATCCGCTCTTAAACATCCGCTTCCCCATGATTTAGGACTGCAAGCCATCAACAACAGTAACAACAGTGACAGAATGTCTGCGGCTGCTAAAGTACTGTACATATGCTGCCGAGCATGTAACGCCCCTTATCCCCTCCCGTTTATCGAGAAAAAGAGGAACGTTATGTACACAAGTGTTTTATTTAAACCGCTGCAATCTATCAATCGGCAAAAAGAATCATCTGTCCGTAATTCTTTGCAACATGTCTCACTATATGCTCGCAATAGTTCCGCGTAACGCAACCTCTGGCTGCAAGCAACACCGGCTCGAGAAATCGTGTGCGCCACTCGCGAGTGCAAGGAACCGCTTCTGGATACCCTCTAAGCATTTCCGCATACCTCCTCCTCATGGTGTCCCTCACGTACGTCTTCACAACACTCCACACGTCCTCGATGGGTTTAGCGAAGGAGAGTACGGCGCTAGTCGTAGTAGCATTCCTGCTCGATACCCTTCCTCCTTGAAAACCACCTACAAATCTGTGTGGCACGATGCGTTGTCACAAATCAGAACACACCGATCAATAACAGCGGCTCCTTGGGCATCCAGAAGTTCCCGAACCCACTGCATGCATCTCCGCTTGTTGAAGCTCCCTCTTAAAACGGAAAAGGCTATCAGTCCCTCGCTCGTCATTGCACCCATAACGTGTACATTCCGCCCGCGGCTGTTCGCCACCATGCACTGTGCTCGAGTTCCCCTCCGTGAACGACCCCTGGTGCGACTACAAAATAGATTGAAATTGGTATCATCAATCCAAACGGGCTGTTTCCCTTCGACCTGCAACTGTAGCAGACGCAACAAAAACAGCCTCCGTCGTATTTTGTTCGCCAAAGTGTTCATGGGCTCCGGAACTGTGTGAAGCTTCTTTAGTATGATAAGACGACTATCAAGGTATCTGGAAACTGTAGTGATGCTAACTTCAACGTCGAATTCAGCCTTCAGCCTCAAACGGAAAGTTGATAAGGTAACGATCGGTTCTTCCGATACCCACTCGATCAGAGCATCGACATGACTTTCTGTCAGGGATCTGCGGCGAGCTCCACCGTGTTGCCCCCTCCGTTCCACCGATTCTAACATCCGTATCCAACTACGGCACGTGCTCACTTTCACATTCAACAATGCAGCAACATTCATCCAATCCTCCCTTTGCTCATAGGCACTCAAAATTCATTCGCTCACCTCAGGCGAGTGTCGAACGTACGATCCTCTTCGTATACTGCGGTTTACGCCAGATCCACATCCCATCTTAGCTGACCAACAGCGCACCGCAAACCAAAGAAACCGAGGTGTCATCACGACGTCACCTATAAATATTGCGCATTGCAATTTACATAGCACATTCCTTTATTGCTTGAATCCACTCCATAGGCTTACCCTTGCTATTTGCCTAAAGACGGTGGCTGTGATGTCATTGGTTTACTTTCCTTCCAAAATGTCATGCAGTCTAAAACCACCTCTAGGCGGGTTGCAGGAGTGCCATTGCTCATTCAGCTATGAGTGTGCAGGGTCCAAGGCACGGCGCATGCCTGACTAACCGCAAATGCAGGCCTGTCTGACTTCCTCAGACCTCAGGGACTGCGGAATATCGGGTTGAAGATTGCCTGTCTACGCCCCCATGGTTAGGCCGCTGAATAAGCCACCACCAGGTAGCCGCTAGCGATCACTAATTATAGATCGCTTCATGTGCTGGTTAGTATGTCTGTCCGCACTGGTTACGTCTTAAGCTTCGGATAACGTGGTAGCTTAGATCTTCCCCTTTGACAGGCGTCACAATTTGCCCATTGGACGGTTTCAGGTTGGAGACCAATCATCGAGGTTTACTGCAGAGGGGCATCAAGACAGAACAGAAGGTGGTGCTCGACCACTTTCATTGGACTGTCTGTCGCTTATGCTGGCGGCTTCTAACCGGTGTCCCATTGGTTTACGTCCCATGACCAATGAGAGTGTCAACAACGCTAAAACAGCGTTCTTAGCCTCCTACCTTGAAAATACTACACGCGATTTCGGAAATGTGCCACGCTAAAAGCTTGGTACAATGCACTAACATGCGTGTAAAATGGCATAGTGACTTAGACGCGAACGCTGCCCGGCTATCAACGCACGCAAATCACGTGAGCGATCGACTCCCAGCTGAGGCGGAGTAAGAATAGTATGTGGTCCCCTGAAGACTCTTTTACGTCAACATTTGGCAAATCACGGCCATTGGTATGGGTCATTAGGTTTGTGAAAGTTGCTACCTCGACGGGGTGGTAGTTTGTAGAAGAACATTGTCAGCACATGCTCAGTTGGGCCTGGTCTCTTAGTGGGTGAGCGGTGCTACGCCGTAGGGAGGAATTGGACCCTGCTTCCCGCAGCCATTATGCCGTCGTTTCTGACGCGCTTTTACGGGAATATTTGACGGGCCCGCAACACATACTTTTACTGCGATATTCGATAATATGGATCACATTCAATGCCCAATGAATATTTCACGATCCAGTAAACACTCCACAATTGCATTTTACGATTTTCCATTGCTTTGTTGTCCACTTTATCTCTGTTCTGGCGTGGCCACTTCAATTCTGTAAGATGTGTTAGTTATTAGCCAGGAGAAAAAGTTGCAACACCAGTTGTTTACTTTGCTGTAAATCCAACCTACAATTATCCACAGTATTGCAGCCAGATTGCTTTTTCGTTTATCGTATAGATTAAGCTCAGCTGAAAGGCTTTCAAAGATGACTTGTCCGCTTCATGCTAGACATACAGTGTTTTTCTGGGTTGTCTCCATTCAGGGCTAAACTAGTCTGTCACTGCCGCATCCAGACCTCTGAAACAAGTATGCGGCATTTAGTTTCATAAACCTTTGACTTAGTCCAACTACTATTTCATTATGTTCAATTGTTTTATAGAACCAGAAGATGCGCCGGGTGATATCAGGTTGACCGGAATCACCCTCGGGAATGGCTCGTCAGGACTCCAAGCCTCTTGGCAGCCTCCGGAGCGTCCAAATGGCATGTTGATTGGCTACCTTCTCTACTTCACCCACAATGTCCAGTTTCACTTATCCGAATGGCATAAACTGAAGTTGCCAGCAAGCAGTGTGAATGCCGTCTTATCAGATTTGCTTCAAGAAACCTTCTATTTTATACGGATTCGGGCGAGGAACATCAATGGAAACGGTCCTCTTTCCTCGATCTACGTCTTTCGCACTGCATCCGGTACGGTCATTGTTTTTCAGGCATCGTCTCTTTCATTTGTTTATACAATATTCTTGTAATATAACATATCCCTGACCGAATGAGGCTAATGATAGTGGAGGGCTTTTAGTGCCTCGCTTCCGCGTTGCTGGAAGCGTGCAACGCCAAAAGCTCTGCGCTTGATCGTAATCATCGAAGTGAAGGGTGATGATTCCTAAAGTGACTTGATGGTATGCATTATTACCAACATCGGTGTCTATACACTGCGACGAGTAGGATAGAAATTGTACATTTCTCGCGGTATCGAGAAACCATACCCACAATAGGCGGAAATATGTTTACACAAAAAATATTTCTTTATGCAATCCGCTTAAAAGTTAGAGACTGTGCAAGGTGACAGTAGGTTTTGACATAAGGTTTACTTTTTGGTTTGCCTTGTCATTTTCCACTAGTTCCGCGAGTACTATCGGTAGATCCACTAAGTGGTATATCGAGGACTCTAATGACATTGGGCTCATGAAAACGAAACGAAACAGTTGTAAGTGTTATGTTGCTTTGGTGCCACAAAATTGTTGCACAAACTAGACGAGCCCACTGACGAGAAATTGACAGATGCTGTGAGTGGGACCTAACGTGAAAATTTGAATCCATTGTAAATTGCTAAGAGGATCAGAGCACCATATTACTGATGCAATACGATCATGAGCATTGCATGATAAAGCCAAAAGTAACATTGCGATTCAAACTGACGGTAGAAAAGACGATCGAAATTTGTCACAAATTGCCTAAAACACTGCCATTAGTAATACGTATAAAGGCAATAGACACCCGGCCACAAATAGAGAAGGTACCACCTAGCAATCAGTTCACCTGTACAAACCCATTATCATGTAGCTCAGGACAGGGACAATGTAAAGACATGCCAGCAGCTGAAGAAGAACACGGTCGTTATCCTCTTGCTTGCACTCAGTGCTCTACAAAACAACCCGGAATGGCCCAAGGACCTGCAGCCGACCCCGCAAAGATCGGCATAGATCCTCACCGGAAACCAGCATTCACTAACATCCTTCTGACCTCCGATGCGCTGACCTTCTTCTATTCCAGTACACAAGGTGTTCTCAACAAGCTAACCGAACTTCGTATTCGTCAGTTCTCCACGCTTTGGGATATAGTTATGATCACCGAAACTTAGATGAATACGGAAATCACCAATGTTGTGATTTCTCTACTCGGCATGGCATCCATACGAAACGATCGACCTAGCAGAGAAGGCGAAGTGCTTCTGTATTGTCGATCCGACCTGCATGTTGATCTCATCGACGATCCAGAAACGCAAGTTGTCCATTCGCTTACATATCGCTTGCACCTAACTGATGTGTGTTTACTAGCAATACTTTACTGCCCTCCAATGTTCACCTTGGAAATGGATCAGTTCCTAGCTTCTGCGATGAAACGACTCCTGCCACGACCATACAGTCAGGTCCTTCTGATCAGGAGCTTCAACCTTCACGCAATCAAAGTCTCTGCATCACTCCGCGAATAATTCAAGGCTGATTTGCAGGAGGTAAGCGCCGATGTACCTCTGTGCACTCATGTTGCCTCTTCCACGCGGTTCAGAACAGGTGACGCACCATCTGTTTTGGACCTTCCGCTGACCAACGAGGAACTAATGGTCGATGCCGTGGCCATAGATGCACCACTTGGCCGCAGCGATCACATGATGTAGCCCTTCCGTTAGATCTGCTACGCGGAGTACATCAGTGGTAACAACGACGAAACCAACCTCGTTCCGCGTTACGTTATCCTATCCTACCTCGTTCAAGAGACCGACTGGTCCTTCCTTGCCGAGCAGCCGCCAGATATCGCGTGGACGGTGTTTTTCACCCAATATACCGGCCTAGTAGCAAATGCGTCGGACTGTAAGGTCTTTCGCTTGAAGCAAATGAAGTCGTTCCTGAGGAGTCCTACTAGAAAATACATGGCCTTAAGGGATTCAGCCTGGCGAGCTTACAAAGTCTGTCCTAGTAACCTCATCTGGGGTGTTTAGATAACTTAGCGAAACCACTCTGTCAAGTTGATTCGCGAAGGCAAACTCCAGCACCAACAGAACTTAGCGGCGAAATTCAGTACAACTCCTAAGTTGCTGTACAGACACCTCAACAAGCTCCGCAGAGTGCAGCGCGGGATTCCGGTTGTATGTACAACAGATGGTGTTGCGCAAACCGCCCAAGCTACAGCCAATGTGATTCGCCAAACTTCATCCACACTTTCCAGAGTGAATCATATTTCACTGGCTTTTGACACAGCTCCCATACCCACCAGGGTTGAACCACGTAACGTTCACAACAGCCCATGTGATGAAAAGACTAATGTTTCTGCGCATGCGCAGCTCTTCTAGCGTGAACGACATCCGACCACAGTCATTGACGGGAGCCGCCATGAAACTTGCCGGACCAATAGCTCTGTCATTTCAACGATGTCTGGATGAAATACAATATGGAAACATGGAATAGTCACTCCTGTTTACAAGAGTGGGAATCGTACGCAGCCCTCGAATTACCGTCCAATCACTCTTCTCCCTGTGTTATCCAAAGTAATAGAAGGTATAATCGCAGAAGCGCTCATAGAATACTTTGCGATCAACAACATCCTAGTGCCACAGCAACAGAGATTCCGCCGAAATCGGTCTTGCACTACAAAGTTGCTTTCAGCCCAACCTAGCTGGACAGGAGTACTGGATGTTAGGGTAGAAGTTGGCGTCATCTGCCTAGATTTCTCGAAAGCGTACGTTCGTTTGGACCACCGCATTCTCCTTCAGAAGCTTCGGAGCTATGGAATCGGTGACTCTTTTCTGGATTGGATAAGCAATTGCCTTTTTAACCGCCAGCTAAATGTGAGATTTCACAGCTCCATTTCTGACCCCATTGATGTCCATTGTGGCGTGCCGCAAGGATCGTTACTGGGGCCACGTTTGTTCTCAGTATTTACTGAGAGCTTGCTAGTGTATTACAGTCGAACTTCTTGCTATTTACAGACGATGGCAAAACCTTACATGACACCCAGACAGTGGACGATCAAATGGCACTGCTGAGCGGTCTCGACAGGGCCTATACTTGGTCATCCGAAAACCGGTTTCAGTTTAACTTTGGGTAAATGCTAAGTTGTGAGCATACGCTATCCGCTTACCCATGAATATTGACTTGGGGCAACACGCTTCCCTGGAATACGACTTCGGAGTGATGGTGCAGGATGATCTTGACTGCCCGAGACGGGCTGCAAAGGCAACGAAAATGGCCAGTCAACATCTTTGAATCTTACGGAGAGCAATTTGACCATCAATCTTTCCGCAAATGTTGAACGCCTACGTGAAGACCCACGTGGAATATGCGATTCATACCTGGCGTCCCTGGTGCAAGCTCATCGTTCACGCACTTGAAGCTTCCCAAGGCAAAAGGACCAAGCTCTTTCAGCGCAGGCTGGATGCTCTGAGATTGTACAGTGGTGAATATCGACGTCAGCGAGGGGATATCATCATGGTTTACTTAATACTGACGAACTCATTTCACCCTTGTGTCAAGCCTTTGCAGCTGAGCCGAAATAGCAAACTGAGACGCCACCAGCTCAACCTGGCCACGCACTACAGTCGAGTTGCTTGCCGGGTGTCCCGAACCTAGAACGCCATTCTAACTCACTTCATCCTTGCCCCTATATTAACGCTTTTCAGAAAACTTCCTGATAAAATACTTTCCTATTTGCATTACTTAATGTAATCCGCTTCACTCGGATGACGAAATAACGGGAGCCAAACTAAGTGCTTAGCAGTCCTCTCTGCAACGTGGCGGTCAGGATGCATGCATAAGATTCCTTGTGAATAACTTGGATGTGCCTAGCCTGGATTAACATATCACATCGGTCAACTGAAGCGGCACACGAGTGAGCGTTGTGATTTCCTTTGTTTCTTTTTTTCTCCGGGGTACGTAATCTATATCTGCTCTTCATACTATCTTGTGTATGCACATTCCATTCCCATTTCAAACTATCGTTATGAAGCAGTGCAGTTGTATCGGTTAACTTTTAAAATGACAATTCAATTATCCTTTATTTCTGTTATTTTTTGCTCCAACCATCCTACGGGACTTGTCAAGCATGTGCTTTTTTGTACCCTTGATAAATCATTGTTCATTGATCACAAACCAGTTTATTGGTCTAAAACCATACAGCAGGTTGCAATGAGATCAGAGTTATCCTATGAGACAGGAGCTTGATCACCAGGTGCTATGAACACTAAGCAGCCACTAGTAAATAAATAAAAAAGTTTTATTCTCGAATGTTTCGAGGCACGCCATATGGATCATGATTAGAATTGTACAAGCAACAAGGTTTCGCAAAGTTCAGGATACATTACATTCTGAAGTGTAAAACTTAGTTTACTTGTGAGAAGAAGCATAGTTAGTACTGTGTTGATAATGTGGGTTCAAATAAGTTCCACGAAAGTATGTAAAAAGGTATGAGGGCATACGCATCAGAATTAGTGATAGGTGGTGTAGGGAGACTTGCCAGTATGATGTAAAGGACAGTGAGTTTATTTGGTGGCGAGTCACATCCGCCACGTCGCATTGCTGTTAGGTCGCAGGGATCTGGCATCATATCTCGCTTACTATTCGGCAACTAAGTAACTAATATTGGTGTCGACCAGCTGTGTTTAGCGACAAAGTCTCCTGCAACACTGGACCTTCACTCGAGCCTTCGTTTTCAACCTGGCCTTGGTTTGTCTTTGGAATGTCTGTTGATCCATCAATGGGGTGCGTCGTCTTCGATGGAACTACCTGACTCGGAGAATCCTCGGAGTTACTGCTCGATATATTACAGATAAAATAGCGGTTTTACATATCCCGCCGGATGATCGACTAGCGATTCCAGACAGAGAACCAAAACTGACGTATGCTTAACGCTCATTCACAGTGAACTTGACGAGCAAAGTTTTAGTTTCCTGCATTGTTCACATGGGGGTTTTCGCAGTTCAAGCAGCTACTATCTTTGGCTCTCCAAGAAGATGGGTGTAGGCTAACGCCATTTGGTTTCTGGAGTGGGAGTATGGGTCGGGTATGCTGTACGTGGTGTAGTGCGACCGGCGCTATGTCTACATTCTCTTTGAGAAATACTGTTGTACTGTCTGAAATATCAGTTTTGTGTGTGAATGGCATATGACAAAAAGGTAACAAGAATAAACTTCGCAAACACTACAGCCGACTGTACTGTTCTGTCTTTTCAAGGCGGTGGCCTCTCTGTCTGTTGTTATAGCTAAGCTTCGAAAAATAAATGCAAAAAGTTGTTGCTTAAATTATGGTATATTATGTTAGGGTCACCCTAAAAGCGCGGATGGCATCCACTGAAAGCACAAAATACTCTTTCGCTCTTCGTATGATAAGTGGTGTGACCCTTTGACCTTAATATTCGCCCGCTTTTATGATAAGATCCCATTTATGTCCTTAAGACTTGAATTGCATATTCCATTTGAGAGCATATGTACGCAAAGCGTTTGGGAGAAAACGAATGCGTCTAAACGTTTGACAGTTCTCCGTAACAGCCCCAGGTTTCGATGCCCTTCTGTTATGCTACTTTGAAATGCTCTGAGCAGCCGACGTCTTCCTGCAACAAGACGAGAACAAAGTAGCATATCGTGGTTGGCCAATTTGTATCTGCTAACCATTCTGTTCCGTAGATAAAGCGCACAATATTTCGTTACATTAAACGAGAGACGATTCTGGACTGACCCACTATAGATCTCATCAAGGCTGTTTTGAAGCGATATGCGGTCATGTAACACTGCTCGCTCGCCAAACTGTAATGCCCTCTGTGTAAAGCAAGCAGTTTGAACTGACTAGGTTCACTAGATCCTAAATAAATGTGAAGCATTTACGAGGCTGCGATGTCGAAGTTTGTGGTACAGCACATTCGACTTGAATAATATATGATACAGATTCACGGTTCTACCTCCAGACGCCTGTGCACTTATTGATCCATTCTAAGAGGACGCGTTCTATGCCGTATTCCCGAGGCGAGGTGAGAAGGATGCAACGGTCCAACCGGTCGATTATCTTAACAAGTCAATGAAGTCAACATCTACCTAGAAAATAACACCAGCTGTTTAAGTTCAACTGTGTTGTTAACAACAGCTTTACAGTGCACAACTGATTCTAGCAGAAGCCGTGTCACTTTTGCACGATGTAGCGGAATTATTCCAGGCAAGACATGATGGTGCAATAAGGCTAACTTTCATAACTTTTGAAAGAAATGGTAAGAAAAGCACTGGACGACTGTTAGCTGGGCCGGAACGATCGCTTTCCTTGTGAACTTGGATTATTCGTCCATGTTCCCACATTGTAAGAATGATACTCTCATCTAGATACGGACGGAAAAATCTCGCAAAGGTTTTAGCAAAGTTCTTAGCTACAAGGGCAAGCACCTTCGGACGAATATCTTCAATCCCGGGAGAGCAATGGGGCGCATGGTGGCGCATCATAGGGTCTGCCGTAAAGTGGATATGAGTTCCTTGATTATGCACAATTCAATCCAAACAGCCAAGATACCATAGAACGTATTGAGATGGTGTGGCGTACTGCTGCCGCAGAGCATTCGCCGCTTTCTTGTCTCTCCGTTTTAATCGATCCGCTTTTAGATGAGTAGGAAATCCCCTTGCGAAGGCAATCTAGTTGCTTCTCAAGAGGCTTGTGATTGGAAGCAAATCATTCTGCTATTGCTCTCTTTGTTATGTCACTCTGTGCTCGTGGACTAGTTGAGTGCACTGGTTACGATGGACAAGGTATGTTTTCCAAGTGTTCGAATTCGGATCGGTCTCGGGGGCATGTCCCGCTGCATTTGCAATCACTGCGCATTCGGGTGTATCACTCCGTACAAACGGATCCATACTGTCGAGACGAATGGCTTTAATTTCCGATGCATCAGCAACCAAGATGTTGAACTTGCTGGTAAAAGTTTCCCAAGCAATATCCGGTGCAGCATCAGCAAAGAATTTCCAGCTAGTCGCTTGCACAAGCCTACCCAATTTGTCGTTGCATGTTAGGATTTGCGTCGCTTGGGTTCTGTCCATGGGGTGTTCTGCACATTAGATGTGCATAAAGGGCTTGGTTGCATTGTCAATGCGGTCTAGCGGAGTGTCAATGATTACCCACTGTTTCACGATGTGCGGGAGAAATTAAGCATGACCCGGAAAATCCATTATTGTAGAGATTAATCGATGCTCAGCGACTATCGCATCGATTTCCAATGTTCTGGAATTTTCTAAAGCCTACCTTCCTGAAGATCGACCACATCTATAGGGAACAGGTAACTTTGGTAGCTGATCTAATTCTAGAAATCGAACGTCATGAGGCGACCATGGTCTGCCGCCTTTGTACAGCTCCTTTTTCACTACGGTTAACACGTTATTTCAGATAAGGTCGTTTTGCCTTTTTCCGTTTGTATTTTTGGTCGTGCGGAATAGATTAAATGGAAGTTTCGGAATTGCAGCAAGTGAGAACATTTAGCACATGAGTACTTCGTTAGAAAGTATCAGACCCTCTATGGCTGTTCTGTTTGCCTCCGAATTCGTTTTGATGACACTTGCATTCGTGAATATGTTAACTCGCCGTTGTTTCATCACTGGCGCGCGAGTGGCTGCTGTAGAAACCAAATCGTTGCTTGTGCGCTGTTTTCATCCATTTCTGTATGTTTGCGTTTGTTACCCAGGTCTCTTCTACACACGTTCCTATGAGCATGCATATGCTAGCATTGCGGGTGCAAACCTTGGAATATACCTGCTTCGCTAGGGAATGAGAGGTTTTAGTGCCTAATTAATCTTGCACATGTGCTCAACAAACTTATCTGCTGCTATCCGAACAGCACAATAGTTTGTAACCCGCCCATGGCGTGCTTAGGTTTCTATCTTTACCACACAAATGAACATAACTTGTTTTCCTCTCTATTCCCTTTCAGCTGGTGGTGAACTGGGCAAGGAAGTCCTACTTGACAAGGCCTACTATGATCCAAAGTCTGTACTTTTGCAATTGGCGCCAACAGCAGGAAGCCACTCAACACAATTTTCCGGGCAGAAAGCAGGAACTGCCGTTGAAGGCAACTCAGAATTTCGATTATCAAGCAACTCTTGGGTTTTCATCACAATATTCTCCTTTCTCTCTTTGCTCATAGGCGTGATTATAATAAGTACTTTATTTCTTCGCTGGCGTCGACAGAAAACAACAACTACAGCTGGGTAAGTGCGAGCCGGGACCCTCTGGATTCCCTGCATATTCAAACGATGAAGTAGTTTTATTCAGCGATGAGGTGGCTTGTCAGTTTATGCCATAGTTGGCATTTGTTTTACTTTCGCTCTGCGTTTGTGCCAAATACAACAACTGAGCACTGCTTCGTATGTAGATCGGTACGGTGTATTGTTGGATTTTATTTCTTTCTTCATTTATGCTGCAGTTGCTTTCATTACGGGCCTTTATGCGTTTTCTCTGGGCAGAAACCATTTATGCTGCTTACTACTTAAAGCAAATCGGTATTTTTAATTAGCGTTTCGCTGATTAGCTATTTATGATCCGATCACTGAAATGCAGTGGGCCACTCAACTTGAGGCAGGTGACCATGCCAATAAGGGTGATTGGTAAACCTTAGAAAAAATAATTAGGGAAAAATATGCCAAATAAGCAAGGATGAAAGTTTAGTGGAAAAGGATTGAGCTTGTTAGAAGCAGTGGTACACAAATAGGTAGTGGAGACTTCGTGTGGCAGCACCACAGACCTCACCGTTTATTTTTATAGAACCTCTTTAGCCATTGACGTACTGATCCTTTGGCTACCTGATTAAGTCTCCCAGTCAGTTCCACCATATCTTTACACGTCATCTGTGTATCGCGATATGGTTGTTAAACCCTACACACTGAGGTGAATGGTCATAAAGCATCCTCATCATTCAACTTATCTTATGCAGACGGTTCGCATTCAAGAGTGGGTTCATAGCGGTGCCAAAAAGTAACTGCAAAATTTTGCGTCACCTACTCTATGCAATAACGTGACACAGTCTATTTCACTCTAAGCTCCGAAATAAATGGCTACGATTTTAATGTCCTCAGAATGCAATGATTACATCCTTTCCTCTTCCGGTTACGCTTGTTATACCGCAGCGTCGTCTATCCTGACCGTACCCAATGGTCAAGTATCACACTATCCCGATAATCACTACAGATTTTGGAAGCCAAACGGATATGTACGGTTTCTGTGTTTTGGTTTTCAGAGCGATTCGATAGGCTATCGTGCTCGGTTTACTTACCACGTTGACCGGCAATAGTTAATGATTGAAATGGATTTGATAGAATTGTTAAGAAGACCATGAACTTAGCTGCTAAGTATAAGTCCTCGTAGTCGGGTGCTTTGCTGGAACCTGGACAGTGAGCACTGTATCAGTGACAGGTAACTATCGCTGTTTGGCGAAGACGTGGTTAACATCGGTGCAGTACATCGCGTTGTTCGATGGAGTTTGCCATTGCGGTGTAAACGCTCAGTTCGGAACTCCGTGGTGTTTAAGTAACTCTTGCGATCGATGAGCGTCTGGAAAAACTGACCGCTGTCGTTAATAGCATGGGCACCAACTCCCAACTGTCCCCCAGATGATTTTGAGTCTCTTGTACTCGGTGCACTAGAGCATTATGTCGCCAGAAATCCATGTTCACTAGTTTAATAGTGTATAATGGGACACAAACGTGACTACGAGACCCTTTAGGATGGAAATTGCACAGGAAAATTAAGATCAGAAATGTTTCAACGCTGAACATTATCACACTGTTGTGTTGCTTTTCTCACTAAGATGTAAGTCTAATAGCCTGTCAAATGTCGTAATGTCTGATGCGTTCACCATATGCTGGTCCGTCCATTCCAACGGGAACAAATTCTAAGAGAGGAAAATACTTTTTTACATTCAAAATGTGAGTGTTGCGTTACTAGTTTCTGTTCTTGGCCTAGGCATTGCTTGTAAGGGTTAGAATCCTTAGTGATGTACATGGGTGCTAGCTCTCAGTATCCGGTATGTGAGAATGAGATCTCCGCGAAGTTGTCTGTGTTCTGGGGAGAACACGCCGAGTAAATGAAGGTACAGTTTGTAAATGAGACCGGATAGTCCACGTGTTGCCTTTGGTGGCTCTCCTTGCGGTCTCCTCCAAGAGAGGAAGGCCTCATTTTAACCATAGACATCAAGCCTGAACCGCATATTTAACGTGGGGACGAATATGCAAGTTAATCATGCGGTACTAGCCGTCACTCAGCGATGCCGAAAGCTCGCCTCAAAAACTTCAAGTTCAATTTCACCACACTTGCTGCTTTTGAAGATTGGGGCGAGTTACCAAGACTTTCTTGAACGATGATACCTAAGTCTCGTTCACTAGTCACCTGTTAAAACACATGCTGTCCCAGAACATATGTGTTGATGAAGCTGGTGCGCACAGTCGTCAGGTGGCACTTTGCATATTTCAGTGGGAGCTGGTTCCTTTCTGCCCCTTCGTTAATCCGAGACAGATCATCCCGAAGATAGGCGCGGTCGGACGCTAAGGGAATTGGTCCCCATCTTTTATCATCATCTGCAAATATCTGCATCGGGGGTTAAATATTTTCTGGGTCACTTATCTAAACTAATAAGAGTAGCGATCCGAGAATGGATCTTTGCGGTACACTACTGGGGACGCACAGGCTTTCGGAGTGAGTGTTGGCTATTCTTATCTTGATGGTTCTATCTTGTAGATAATCTTTGACAGGACGTTGTGGTTTTGATACGATGGGTTCGAATTGTTCTTGTCTTTATTACCCTAGGTATGCCATACGCATACTGTCTTCATGTAAATTACTTAACTAGCAGGTTCTCTAACAATGTTTTCACAAGTGTTATCCTATTTCTTTCATCAATTTAGATATCAGCCGGGATTAGTAAATGGTCTGAAGGTGAAAGCAGTGGAGCAGCCGGCCTTCGGTGGTACTGCCAAGAGCAAGAACAAAGAACGAATTCCAGTTTTGAACACGCAGCATCATGCATCAGGCAACCGCATGATCACAGGTTCCACTGCCGATCGAAGAAAGGATCCTATTCCGTATACGGTGGCAACCGACTCTAGAACCCATTCAAGTAATTCAGCATCTGCAGCCACCGGGGCAGCGTCACTGGACCAACCCTACAGAAGTGAGCTGATAACGAATTTCACGGCTGACAACGCCAGCATTACGGACATTAAACCGGTTACGTGTGTGTGTGCCCAGTGGTCTTGGCTAAACTCTCGGTTCCGCGGAAACTTCCTACTAGACACCTAACGCTAGGGCAGATCGAAAGGAAGTGACATGATTCGAATAACTACCACAAAAATGGTAAACATGTAAAAAGCTGGATGGTAAATGGAACAGCAGCAGAAAACAAGAGAGGGATGATCCACAAAAGTTTGTATGCTGAGACTCTGGGCCAGGATGATTAATACTGAAGTCTTTCTGGTTTCTCTGCTGCCCCACGTAGGTTAGCTATGCACTTATATTACATAGTTCTTACTCGGATAGAAAGGATCCCACTGTATTTGATTTGTTTACTTCTTTTATTCTGCTGCGTATTCCTAGTATCTTGCGTGTTTATTTTCCCTCGAATTTTGTGTCGGTTATTTGACATCTCCGGTGTGACTGCGTTTGATGTGAATGCTGACAACGTGCCTACCTGTCTGTTACCCACTACCTCGTCCATAATGGCTCCAAGAGACAGTCGATCGTTGCTGGATTGGACGGGATGCTCGGTCCTTGCGGCCGTGTTACGCGGAAATAGTGGTTCCATCCATGGCGGAGCCGACTACGGCCCATCCACCGTTATGTGTACGTCTGGTGCGCACAAGTTCTCAAGTGGGCATGAATGTTTCTTCTGTGTATGCTGAAGGATTGGGGGCCGACTCCGTTGATAAAATGTGGCTCCTATTTGCATGCCTCCCGGTCTTTTTTCTTCAGGTTTACACCGGATATGGGGGGGTGTGTGGTTAGAGCTGTGGGTAGTACAGCACAATCCACCCATGGTCGCTGTGTTGGCACAGGAGTCCTGTGGCTGTCCTCGTGAAGGGCACAATAACAAGCAAATCCGGTTTCGGTTGCCGCCAATCCATGTGAAGGGGAGCAATACTCTCCACTACGTGTTGAAAAGGAGTAGTTTAGTATAAGATTAGCGTTATGCTGTACCAAAACGGGAAAGTTGCTGCCTTTCTTCACATGTAGCCAAGTATTCTTAACCACCAACACGAAAGTAGGTGCGCGCAAACTGTTACCCCTCAGTTTACAAATCAAAAGAGCCCTACAATCGGTTCTCGAAAAAAAGTTGCAGCACTATAAGGGAGGTGTTCCGCACGTGAGGTCGGTTTCCGACTAGGTGTAGCTGTGACAAATCATCCGTGGTAGTGAAACAGACCATCCTACATCACCTGACTTGCTGCAGGAAAGGGAGCACGAAGTGTTTCCCCCGTCCCTCACCATCAGTTCAAGTCCCTATGCCCCGATTGTAACTCCTCTGCCGATTAAAGGAGCTAAGCCACTCTTTTAGATCTTACTACGCCTGTATTTCACAAAGGAAGCTGTGTTCTCGTTGTGCAGCTCCTATGTTCTCATTCTAAATCTGCGATATTTCTCAACGACTGAAGCATCATGGTTGGCCAGTATCCATGTAATATTGAACACGTCACACTCCTGGTTTACTGCTGGTCCTTTATGTGCTTCAGAGCCCCCGTCTCACTGATTCGAATTTGGCGAAGAAGAACGCAGTCATTCTATTTGCTTTCCAACCCCCCTTTCCACGTATCAGTTTTTCTCCATTAGTACACCTCGTAGTGTACAATAGAACAATGGAACAATGGATTTATGCGGGTATAAAAGCTAAAGCTTGACAAATCCCGTAGGGTGATCAGTGCGAAAATCATAGAAGTGTGAAAAATTCAATGGAAACCAATTCAGTAAAATCGTTTAACAACGAGTCACTACAAGCTTGTGGATTCACCGAGTTTGAAGTGTCAAAATAATAATCCATTATAACTCCGGAGGGGATTATGAGGTATGGAGTATTTGGTTAAAAGAGTCACCGCCCCTTGAAATTCGAATGGGGCAAAGTGTTTGAGTTTGAAGCGTCAAGATATAAATCCACTGTTGAAATTTGCGTGGGGGAAAATTATTTTTAAAGTATGGAATTTCGGATCTCTCAAAAGTAGACTGTACTATGGGAGATAGTGCAATGAAGTGAGTGTACTATCAACTAGGTTTTTGAACTCGATCAGGTTGGGTGCACTGACTACAGATTCTGGGAGGAGCATTCCAGGCTTGGCAAACACGCACGGAAAAGAAATTCCGTCGACATTCCAAACGGCTGTACTGCACTGCCAGCTTCAGATGATGGCCTCTCAGATTGTTGTTATTACTGAGCTCCAGCAGATGGCGGCAGGTATGATTGGGGTCTGTCAGAATCTGATAAGCCAAAATCAAATCTCCCCGTAGTCGTCGATATTGCCCACTAAATATCCTGAGCAATCTCAGTCTGTCTTCGTAGCGTAACTGGCCTAAACCTTTCACGTTCTTCGTTGCGCGTCGTTGAGGTTTCTCTAAATCAGAGAGGTCTTTCCTCAGCCACGGCTGCCAGACTTGTATTGCATACTCCACGTGTGGTCGTATGTATGCACCTAGAAGTTGGTGAAAAACGGATGGATCGAAACGTCCAAATGTGCGCCGGAGAAGGCCCAAATTTCGAATGCTCGCGTTCGATGCTTTCTTTGCCTGGGCTGAACAACCAAGGTCGGACTGAATCAAGACTCCTAAATCCTTTTCCTCAGCAGTTGTGTGAAGCACATGGTCACCCAGTTTATAGAAAAATGTTGCTTGGTGACGTAAATGTAATACTCTGCACTTTTCTGTGTTGAGTGGGAGTTGGTTCTGAACTGACCACGCATACACCTTATCCAGATCCTCTTGAAGTATTGCGGAGTCGTCTGGTGTATTGATCGCTCTCCAGACCTTGATGTCGTCGGCATAGAGTAGGCAATTGGAAAGAATGAGGGCCGCTATGTCGTCAATATACATCAAAAACAATCGTGGCCCCAGTACCGATCCTTGTGGTACACCACATTCGACATGGATTGGGTGGGACAGGGACCCACGCACTTTTACCTCTAAGCTCCGGTGGAGAAGAAAGCTTGTGATCCATCCTAGGAACGGATCACCAATGCCGAAGCTCTGAAGTTTGCAGATCAGGATTCCATGGTCTAGTCGATCGAAGGCCTTTGAGAAATCTAGGTAGACCACATCCACTCCTGCACCGCTGTCAATTAATTTGGTCCAACTCGATCTTGCTAGCAGCAGATTTGTGGTGCACGATCGATTCCGTCGAAAACCATGCTGTTCATGTGCAAGGAAGGCAGACTCTTCTAGATAGGCTGTTAATACGTCAGCAACAATAGCTTCCATAACATTTGACAGGACCGGGAGAAGGGTTACAGAACGGTAGTTGGCTGGATCCGAACGGCTACCGCCCTTGTGAATTGGGGTTATGATCCCACATTTCCACATCTCGGGTACGTACATCTGATCGAAGCAGCGTTGGAAGAATCGTGCCAGAGGCTCTGCTAAACTTTCTCCCATTACCGCAAGGGACTTAGGGTGAATGTTGTCGATTCCAGGAGAGCTGTGCTTACGCATACACAACAACTTCTTTAATACCATCCCCGCCGTGAAAGTTATGTGCGTAAGTTTTGGTTGTAAAACAGCTGCTGACAAAGGAACAGATGACCAAGGGATGCATTGAAAGTTCGAAGCATAGTGCAGCCGCAAGGCTTCCGCCACATCTGCCGTAGTCAGCGTCATGCCATCTGGCGTTTGAAGAGGAGGGGTTCCCCGTTTCAACTTGCGCAGGTTGTTTACATGTTGGTAGAGCAGCTTATGATTCGAAACCATGCGCTCCGTTAGATGCTGCTGGTATGTCAGTTTATCCTCACGAACGAGTTGAGTGCAATGATTACGTTGAATTGCATAGGCCGTCCAGCTCTCCGTGCTCGGGTGTTCCTTATAGATACGCCAGGCCGAGTTCCTCACTGCCATACATTTCCGTGTCCTACTTCGCACAAATGAAACAGTCTTCTTCGAGTGGACAACCTTAGTTTCGGATGCCTCTTCGACGAGAGTGCTAAATTGGTTGACGAAATGTGGCCATGCGATTGTCGGTACTTCGTCGGTCAGAAATTTCCAGTTGGCTGTCTCTGCAAGTCGAGCCAGCTCATCGTACCGTATGATAACTCGGCTTTCCCGTGTAGTATCCGCAGGGTATTTTGCGTAGCAAATATAATCGAAGAGTAAAACTGCACGATCGTTGCAACCCAAAGGAGCGTCAATGATTACTTTCTCGACCATGAGTTCTTCGTTGGTAAATATCCGGTCCAGGATGGACGGCCTTTCTGCTGCTCTGAATCTGGTGGGATTGTCGATATGGTCATAAAGCGGAAAACTGGAGACAAGGTCTTGTAGATCCACTTTGAACTGTTCCGTAGGTGTTGCTTGGGCATCCAGAGCGTGGATATTGAAGTCACCAGCGATAGGAATATGGCTGTATCTCCTGCTGATAACAAGCCTCAGCGCAGACGCGAGATTGAAATCCATCTCGGGTGTAGAGGATGGAGGTCGATAAACGACAGCCACTAGACAGACGTCGTTGCCTGTTAAACGCAGCCGACACCAAAGAGTATCCTGCACGTTACTGTACACGTCTTCTATGGGCTCACATTGGAGGTCACTACGGTAGTACAGAGCCACCCCGCCCCCTTTACTGGATCGATCGCGCCGAACGACGGACATGCCTGGTAGCTCGACCTCCGTGTCTGTATTATCCGGGCGCAACGACGTCTCCGTTATAGCGACGAGGTTACACGATTTGGACCTTTGACGTAGTCGCAGTTCGGGTAGTTTGTTAAGTAGACTTTGAGCATTAGTGTACATACAGGACAGCTGCTTGAGCACCAAAAGAGCTTGTGGAGGATTACACGAAGTTGGATTTAAACCGGCCGATGAAAGGCCGGCACCTGATCGTTTTTTGCGCAGTTTATCGATGAACATTTTGCACGGGCCTGCAGCCCGCCTAACGTCGTTCCTGCACACGCGGAACGCTCTTCAATAGCGTCGTTTTCAGTGGTTGATAATCTTGATGCAATGTCTTTGGCTCCGTTTATTTTATCACATTGTGCCACAGATGGTGTCACATCCTCCGGTGGCTTCGATTCAATGAATGGTACCTTAAATCGTAGTTCCGATGGCAGTGCGTTGTGCACTTTTTGCCAGTTACGCATTAAGTTCGCCGCCATCTGCTGGGACTGAACTACAAGTTTCAGTATTCTTGGACCATTATCTTTGTAATGAGGTGAAACGGGCAGTCTAGAAATCGACTGAAGGATGACGTCGCCTGCAGATAAAGTTTCACGGATGTACCGCCATTCTTCCAGATCGTGAGCATGAGCTTCCTCGTCCCTAGCTGTTGGTAGCTCGGGCACACCATGAATTAAAATGGTTTTTCGCCAGCTGGCCGTGTTGCGATCGTCTAAATTGTTTTTTTCTCGCTGACGTTCGCTCCATGGAACATCCGGAAAGATGCGGATCTTACTGTCTTCACCTCGGAGGTGATATGTCGATAAGAGCACCGCCTCTACATCGTCAGTGGATGCTAGTGTTATCCGCAGAATTCTGGGCTCACCATAGTGAACGGAGTTTGGATGTCTCGTCACATGCGTGATGTTAGTCGGCTTGACCCTAGCACCTACGCGTTCGCAAATGAGATTCCACTTGTTCAGATCGTCCTGTTGCTTACCTCTCAGAGAGTTTGCTTTGGATTCAGGAACGTTGGTGCATATGAGTGTTAGAACACCGTAGTTCCTCCTGGTGTTCGGTAATGCGGGGAAACGTCGTGGTGGATGGACTAAAACAAGTCTCTGAATTTCGTGCTTGGTCTTTTACACATGTCGCAGATATTGTGCTTAAATTCTTGTTTACAGTGTCTCTAGCAATAGTCGCTGCGTACGTTGATTGGGCTTTAGAGATACTCAGACTTTGTTGGTCAGTCCGAATTCTGGTTCTTACTGAGGCTTTGGATAAGGGCGGAATGGCTGAGGAACTGCGGATGTTTTGTTCGTACGTGATGCCTGATTGGTTCGGGGTTCCCAAGATATTCGCCGCTGTGATTTCGCGAGAACGTCTGGCTCTTTTCTTCGGTTTAGTGGTGATGAGTACGGGAGATGGTGGAGATACAAACCTTGCTATAATAGCCTCTAAGGAAATAATTCTTTAATTTAGGCGTAATTCTACTTCTGCAATCCGACGGTCGTAATCTTTCGACAAAGCAATTACGCCTTTTACTATGGGAACCGTTGTGCAATTAAGACAGAACGAAACAGACTCGGACAGATTGTGCTTGTTAGCCTCAGTAATCGGACTATGATTAACTGAACACAACGCACAATGCTGGCCCGATTCCACTGTCTGGGCAAGTGACTCAGCACCACTTGTAACTGCTCCCCTTGTTACATTGGTCATGGTCGACTGCAGCGAAGTGGCACGGCCCGGTTCAAGGGCTGGTTTGGTGTCGTGCGTGGTAGGTGTGCTTCGCCGTCTTGTCCGCTTGTGGTCGGAGGACACGTTGATCGTGATGGGCCTGTGCGTCATGCGGTCACGTTTGAATAGGCCGTGTAGGACGTGCTTGGGTCGTCTGAGTGATTGAGATTGATCTGGCCGAGATGCGATGGCGATCGTGAAGTTTGCTGGGCGCTTGAGTGCGCAAGTTAAAAATGAATTTCTTCTGTAACTGTTATGCACAGTGGTGCTGTGAAGCGACTGAAGGCTTGTTAGCAAGCGGAAAGATTTCTCTATCGAATGATGTAAAAATCCGAAGGGTTGTAAAAAAAATCCACGAAAAGCTGCAGACTGGAGAGGTTTTGCGTGTGAATTCCCCGGCAAACTCCGCGAAAAACACAGACACAAGCTAGAGGTTGAAGCGATGGGAATAATACGGGTGGAATGGATCCACCGTGTAGAGAAGATGATTCCGAGTAGATTGAATGCACGCTAGATGCTATGCAGTGAAATGGTGATGAATGGTCCACAAAAAGGCGAGAGCCGCGAGGTTACGAACCGTATAGTGACCTTGCAGATGAGGCAGCGCAGTAATTTTTGCAATGCATGAAAATATGCTTATCCACACATTTCTACCATTAAATCTCCTGCAGTTGGAGCCGGTTCCAACACAGTTCTTCATTGGTGTTCTGCTGCCCTTTTCTGTGGTGTTTATGAAGCATTCTTAAACAATTGTTCGGCGATACATTTTGGTACTTCTAATGATTTATGATTTCACCAGTCATTCCCATGGATTATCGAACTCCGTTTAAGTTGGTCACGGATATCGGAAATCTCGTTAAGTTCTCCAGATGTACTGATGGAACAGATTCGCTTCTGTGTATCTAAGGTTTCGGTAATTCAACGAAAACCTTACAAACCATCTTCTATTAGTCGTTCTTCCGGAATGTTAAAAATTCCTCTTGCTGAGTTACACCCATCTGTGGAATAAAATACCGTTGCAATTAAGTACCTGTGAGAGCCTATCCATTTTTAGAACTGTTTTAACAACTTTTCATGCCAAACATGGTCAAACTTTGTGACGTTTAGCAATCCACAAGCAAGCTCATGGAATCGCGCCCGAACAACATATAACAGTATTAACTATCAACTAAGGTTACATATTACATGCGCAACAAAATATTGCATAACTCTTTCACATTTAGTGGAGTTTATGCATGAAATAATAACGAAACTCGCTATGCATATGCTCGTTCTACAAAAGAGAACGTGTCCCGCTTGTAGGGAAATATACCCGTTTGGTGTACTTCTGCTCCATGATACAGACAAGCCTCATATTTAGCGGTGTGAAGCAAATGGACCCACCCCAACCTCCTATGTTTACTTCAGTCGGACGTTGAGGACGTTACTCCGTCTGCGGAGTGTGCCACCTTTTACGCTACTGTACTCGGCTCTTTTAACTCCTACAACAACTGTAATCCCCTGTAAATGAAGGATTGAGTTAGGTAGAAGTAGTTTGGAATATAAGAGGTACCGGTATATCTTGGTACCATGACAAACTTTCGGAAATATTTGTTGAGCCATCAATCTATTCTTGTTCTTTTCCAGAATCTCAGTATCTTTTCGAAGACACGGCATTGGTATCTGTAGACTCAATGAACCGCCTCCCCAGCCAGACAGCCATTCAAACGGCGAGTGGGAGTAGCAACTCTTGCACAGGAAGCTTGGATACACCAACACGTGTGGTGACCAATCCGACTTACCAACTGCACGCTAATCCCTTCCGATTCTCAGTGAGTTAACTGTGGTATTCGCGTCCATTCAATCTTTGACGGAAGAGGACTAGGCTTGTGGTTTGATAACTACCTTTGCATGACTTTTTCTTAAGTTTGCAGTGTAATTCTCCGCTGTAGTGCATACTTCCTACATGTGCATTGGTAGGTCCGATTTGCATAGCTGTCGCGTGTCCTTATTAACATATCTACGTAATTTTGGCTTAGGTTATTCAGTATCCACCCGTCAAAATGGTCTACATCAGTTTACTTATTCTTTCAGATGGATTTCATTTCAGAATCTATGCTTACAAACCTTCAACACAACTGTGTTTTCATAGAACCATCTAACTATTTGGAGGACTTAATGAGACCGATGAGGCTTTGAATGAGATAAAACATACCGAATTTAGAGCTACCAGCATACTTTTAGTAGGGAGTTACTCCTGAACTAACGATTCGCTTTTTGGGTACCGCATTTAAACCTTATTATCTAATTGCACCTAGTCATAGTTAACTGCACTATCCACGGAAGATATCATAAATGACAAGTGCCTAATGTCGTGAAGTCGGTCTCTCAAGGTAAAGTGCTTATTAATAGAACTCAATCGGCGGAGTAATGCAGCATTACCCTCTCGTACAACAGTTTTATACATGTTGTCCGGCCAGTATCAGTAACAACGACCTGGTTCCAGTAACAGTGTCTTATTATCTTGAAAAGCGCAGTAAGAAGACGAAGACTGGCAAATGCACGCATTTCGTATTGTCTCATCAGTGCCTTTAACAATAACTCGCAATAATATTTATTAAGTGAAGGGTGCGACCAAACATACATACAAACCGAAAAATAGACCAACACGTGATAAGTGAGACAGTGTTTTCACCCCTATCCTCAAGGCAGTCTAATGCTGACCGATAATTGTTTCTGAACACAAAGCATCGGCTTAATCCGGTTAATTGCAATCGCCTCTGCGAAACGGAGGAAGTGAGAATTGGCGTGTTGTAATAGGATTGTGAACGCCGAATTGAGCTCGACTCGTTGACCTGTAGTCAATAGGTGTCGACCGATCGAAGAGGCTGGTGGCTTACGCAGACAAGCAGCTTGACTCTGGCCAGTTTCTGCGCGGTCGAATGTTGAACCCACTTAGGTATATGCTCCTTCATTCGGGAACTCAATGTTCTATCGGTCCTGCCTATGTAGCTGGCGCTGCAGTTGGATAACAGCAGTTGGATAACAACCGCCATCCAGTCAATGGGTCTTAGTGCGGCCAAAAGCCGAGGCCATTCGTTCCGTATCTGATCGGCTGGCTCGTAGGTATCGCCAGTCTACCTGCTCCGTCCGGTACCCTATTCCCAGCACAACTGACGCATTGTTATTTCCATCGGTTAGCTGGAGGCATAGGTTCCTGCAGTAGTGCATCTTGACTGAGCGACCAAGTGTGCCAACATTACTTCTGTCTAAATGTGAACCACTCATGGCACCATACTTCTGTCGGAGTGTGGTGACAAAGGTTACTATCCCCTACATTGTTGGGCCTAGACACAACACACACACATGTGGAGACGACTGGAAAACGAGGGCACACATTTTGCGTTCTGTGCGAAAGCGTCCGATGCACCCGTTGCACTTCCCACCTATTCACACAGGCTTACGTTTAGTGAAGCTGCTGCATTACTCATACGGATCAGTGGAACACTACGTCCACGGAGTTTTAATCATATTAAACACCACAGAGTAAGATGGAAATCTAATTAGTTTTATGAGGCCCACTTTGCCACGGAAGTTTCCACTGAACCCATGAGTAAGGCGCCGAGTCAAATTATGTTGGTGGGAGTTCCTCGGAGTGCCTCACTCTCACATCATTTGACAGAACAGAATCGTTATGCCTTTCGTTCTTTTTTGATCCATGCTATAGCTTACGAGCTATGTATCGCCACTGCCTGACGAGAGTTTGTGTGAAAGAAAAAACTGATTTAAGGCTCCTTCGTATTGGAACAATGGGACAATGTTTTTATACCGGTGAAAAAGCTGATGCTCAACAGGTCCCGTAAGATGGTTGTGGTGAAACTTCAAAATACACAAGAATTGCTAGCAAAGTTGGGTTTCCACCAACAAACTCAATGAAGTATACGTAGTATAGTTTATACATCCAAGCCAAATCCATAACGAATGACGGCAAATGAGATGGTAAAAATCGTATCTCCTTCTGGTGTACATATAGAGGAGGTGAAAAGGTGGAGAGAAATCTGGGATTTGACCACCAGTAAAATCTTTTACAGACGCTTATGTTTATTCAGGGTAATGCATAATATACGAGAGTGCAACGAACTAAGTGCACGGTCACCCCGGGCTTGAAACTCTGCCAGCGTGGGAACACGTATGACAGATTCCGGTAGGGCATTCCACGTTCGGCAAACGCGTACGGGAGATAAATTCCGACGGCATTCCAAGCGACTGTGATGCGCTGCCAGTTTGAGATGATGGCCACTCAAATTGCTATTGTGACTGAGCTCTAGCAAATGGCGGCACGTGTTGTTGGGATGTCCCAGCCTCTGGTAAGTCAAAATGAGGTCCCCGCGCAACCGCCGATACCGTCCGCTAAAGACCCCGAGCACTTGTAGGCTTCGTTCATACGTCAAGTTATACAGACCCTTGACATTCTTGGTTGCATGGCCTTGGGGTATCTCCAAGGCGGTGAGATCTCTCCTCAGCCAGGGCTGCCAGACCTGTATTGCGTTTCCACATGTGGTCGAATGCATGAGCCAAGAAGCTGTGGAAAAATCGTAGGTTCGGATCGTCCAAATGCACGCTTCAGGAGGCCAACATGTTGGATGCCGTTTCAGCCTGCTTCAAATATCCTAGGTCGACCTAGACAAAACTCCCATTTCCTTCACACCAGAATGCGTTTAAAACTCTTGATTTTGTAGGAGTGCGCCAACTTGTGCCGTAGATGCAGCACTCTACATTTGTCCACATTGAATCGAAGTGGATTCTGGGTTGACAACGCGTATACCATATCCAGATCAACTTGAAGTACTGTGATAACATTTGGTGTATTGATCGCCCTCCACACCGTGCTGTCTTCAGGGTAGAGCTCGCAGTTTGAGCTCATGAGGCGCGTGATAACGTTAAGATACGTTATTAATAATCGCGGTCCTAATACCGATCCCTGTGATACTCCGAATAGGACTTGGATGGGATCTGACAGCGATTTGTGCGCATGTACTTCCAGGTGTCGGTTTAGAAGAAAGCTTCTGATCCATACTAGGAGAAGATCCACAATACCAAAAGTTTGGAGTTTGAAGAGCAGTATGTTATGGTCTAACCGGTCAAGCGCTTTAGAGAAGTCAAGGAAGACTACATCAATTCATGTGCCTGTCTATTACTTCAGTCCAGCTGGATTTGTAGTGCACGGTTGAGTTCGTCGGAAGCCATGCTGTTCCGGTGCGAGGTAGTTAACTTTTCCAAAGTAGGCCGTTAGCACATCAGAAATCATAGCTTTCATGACCTTTGAAAGAACTGTTAGTAGGACTATAGGACGATAGGTGGCTAGATTGGAAAGACTACTTTCATGTGACTACCTCCTTTGTGAATAGGAATAGTCATTTCGTGTTTCCACATGTCGGCCACTACATTTCGTCAAAACAGTGTTGAAAAATTGACCCATTGGCTCAGTTCAGCTCTCTCCTACCGCCGCTAGCGATTGCATATGCATATTATCAACTAGGAGAGCTATGTTTGTGCATATTCAACAGCTTTTTAGTACAGCTTCTGCTATGAAAAAGATGTGAGTGAGTTTTGGGGGTAAAGCAACTGTCACTAGAGGGTTAGGTGGTCAGTGATCACATTGAAATGTTGCAACATATTGTAAGCGCAGGGTTTTAGCCACCACTTTCGGTCTCTGTGTGGGTCCGTCCGCTGTTTGAAGTGGAGGAATTCCTCGTTTCATCTTACGTAGACTGTTGACTTGTTTTTACAGAAGCTTGTGGTTTGAGGTCATACTGCCAACTTCTGCTGGTACGCCATTCTATTCTCGCGAACAAGCTGAGTACAGTGGTTACGTTGGGTCACCTAGGCCATCCAGTTATCGGTGCTCGTAGAGAGTTTGTAAAATTTCAGGCTGAGTTTCACACCACTATCCGCTTGCATGTCCTGCTTCGCAGACACGCGACCACGTTTCTTGGGCTGTATATGGAGTCTACCATGGTTATATGTGGTCCTCCGATTGCACTAAGGTTCTGATTCTACAACAGATGGGCGGTTTGCACCGTTAAATAACACACATTGAATCGCGGTAGATGCGATTCGTCACTGGCGCTTAGCGAACACCCAATACCATCGCTGAGTTAGTCTTCCTTTATTTGACCTCGCTATTTTATTCTCCCTTCCAGCTCAACGAATAGCTTATCGTTTGCTTCACTGAATCAACGGTCTTCCCACAGCCAAGGCTGTTTATCATGCTGATGTGCTAATTTACCGGATTAAATTTACTTTTCTACTCAGTCAGAATTGTGCACCACAGCTGTGCAATAAATCGAAATACGCGCCGTAGATCACATATGTGGATAGTACTGCGCCATAAGTGAGTCGCACACTAGCTGCTTAATCAATGCTTATGAGGCCAACGTGTCCGTGCTCTTTCACTGAGCATACTTGAACACCGCTTGCTACTAACATCTTACTACAGCCGTAGGGACAGTGTTGGCGATTGATTGGTTTTCTTTGATTATACACTAAGAACGAGAGTCACAGCACCAGGTTGACCGCTAGTATTGGTGTCGATTCATTATTTGCGTCTTTCGGAGCATCATTCAAAGGGAGTAATGTAGGGGGAAGAGCCTATCCCGAGAAGCTGCAGATGGATTTTACGGTTCTCACTGCATTTCACATATGTTGCAACTTTGGTGAATTTTGATTGTGCCTTCGTACTCATTCTTTTCCTGTGGTGTCCTTAAACTTCACGAGGTAACTATTGCCAAAGGTACAGTATTACGATTTAGATGGATTTTATAGTCAGCACTACCACGCGAAAATTGAAAACTGATAGAGCAACAACTATCCGAAGCTGATTTTAGATTCCGCATGCATATGACTTCGTTAAGCACGGTTTCCATACAAAGGTAATGACGCAGGAATTTCGGCCTACTGATTTGTGGGTACAATCTACAGAATGCACTTATCATTATACGATCTCCAACTCGCTCGGCTTTAGTGGTCCGTTTAATCGAATTTGGATGTGCGTTCCAGCTATAACCTGATTTCATCATTGCATACCTAAGACGAACTGTTAGCGCATACATTCTAATTTTTCATTCTAGGTAGACGTTAAACAGTTTGTGATTTTGAGATCATTTTCATTCCCCCCTAACTATTTGTTAGGCAAGTGCTCATCCTGAGTCCATTATGGCCAATTCGTACGCATCGGCTACTCTTGGATCTGCGCCACGGAATAAAACTGTCACTATCCCGACGATGTCCGGTCCACCAATGCCGCTACCATTCCTAAACAATACTGGAGTCTCATCCATAATGGCTCAATGTTACCGGTCAGGGGAATTTCCGGGTGAATCGAGTGTGTTAAACATGACAGGTCCAGAACATACAGGGGGTGGACAGATGATGCCAACGCATATTGCCTACAACTGCCAAGTGCAGCCGGTTGGAATGTTTTACTCTGCCGACCCAAGTAAGCATGCATGTTACCACATGATTTAGGCTAGCTAATCATTGCTATGCTGCTCATTAAGTACTGTGTTGAATTATTACTCAAAAGGTTAACCCGATAGGTCTCTTTATATATATATATATATATATATATATATATATATATATATATATATTAGCTGCAATCCATATAATAGACAGCGAGCCATCTAGAAACCATGGAATGCATGTGTATAATAAGCACACAAATAGAGTTTTTGTGCCTTTCATATGCCGTTTTGTCATTCTTTCTGTCCGTCTAAAGATTACCGTATTGATCGTTAGAATCGATGCAAAGACTCATGCTTGCCTTTCATTGTCCGCGATTGCCTGCTATGTCCTCAAAACTCTCCAACTAGCAATGTTCTTCATCTCGAACTCTCCAGCCCGAAAGACGTACTAGGCAAACAACAACTTGACTGGAAGTGAGCATCTTGACGTCTTGTCGCCGTGAGGTAGGTTAGCCACCGCGCGATTTCTTCCAGTGTGGCCCTGCATGAGCGTATAGAGGGTGCAGTGATAAACGCTCGCACGGCATGCGTAGGACATGGCCAAGCCACCACAGTTGACGCAGCGACGTCTGACATCGACCTTGCTAACGTGGTGTTTCTACCACACGCTAGCTATCCTGCGCAGACAACCGTTGTTAAAGGTCGAAATCGGACGCAGCTCATTTGCGCGGATCGGCTACGACTCACTTCCGTTTAACAGGACCGCGTGAACACAAGCTTTGTACACCCTGCCCTATCAACTTGTTCAAGCTGCACGCCTTTAAGTATCAGCCCGGAGGCAGGTGGATACCAGTCCTGGAGTAAGACGTTGCGTTTCGATGGAGCGAAGGTCATGCCATACTTGGTAGCTTCAATAATCAAGAAGTGTAGAATGACCTGTATGACCTGAAGGTCGTCACCGAGCAACACAATATCACCAGCATAGTCCAATTCAATCGCGCGGTTTCCTGGAAGAAGCTCTGCGCCAGTACCCCGGAGACCTTGCAGCGCGCTTAATAGCACCTTCTTAGTTGCCAGCTTGAAGAGTAACGGGGACTTGGGGCATCTCTGTCGCACACCACTAATGACAGCGACAGGTAAATAGAGCTTACCGCAAGCCCTCACTCTACCAGAGACGTTGTTGTATGAATCTCGAAGTATGGCCGTATACTTTTGGGAACCCGATTCCTTTGCAAACGACGCCACAGGGCAGGCCGGTCGACCGAGTCGAACGCAGCTCGGATGTCCAAGACGGCGATAGTCATAGGCTGGCGATAAAGATGACACTGCTCGGTGAGTTGGCGGAGCGGAAATAGATGATCCACGCACCGCCGACCGGGGCGGAAACCAGCCTGTTCGTCATGGTAATGTGGCTCTCGTATCGGTGTTAGCCTGCTCAGTAGTGGATGTTAACAATTTGGAGACAACGGATGGTAAACTGACTCCTCTGAGTTTGGCGTATGCGTTACGAGCACTTATTTGAAGCTGGGTGCGATGATCGACTTTCCACAAGTAGATGGAGCCTTTGCTGCACACCAGATCTTTGCGAACAGAATTGTTAACTGATTGGCAATCGCTTCGCAACCGTACTCGGACAGATCCAGTGGAAGTCTGTCTACTTCAGCAGCTTTCAATCGCTTCAAATGATGGCGCTCAACATAGGCCTACACTTCGGTGGGTGGTTCCAGTGAAACATTCCAAGGTGGGCAGGTTAGCTTGCTTGTTTGACAGAAGGAAGGATGAGGCCAACCGAACTGAGAGTGAAATTGCCCAGCTGTTCATGCGCCCACGCAAGTTAATGATTGGTGATCTATCAAGCTCACAAATACCTTCTCTGACGCCGAGCTTTCTGCGGCCAGTGATCCGAATGATCTGGAAAAACTTGCAAAAGTTGCCAGAAAGAGCTGCTATCTCCATCTCCGAGGTGCGTTGTTACCACCAAGTTTCGCGATCGTTACGAAGGCTTTGATTAAGTTGTTGGCTGAGATTACGCCGGACTTCATCGCAGCTGGAATCAGCTGGGATAGCTCGATAACGGTCATGAAATTCCAAAGAGCTAGCAGAGGTGTAGCCTCTCATAGGACGCCCAAGGATTTCACAGTGTGATTGACCGAAATAAAGCGACGGCTGCAAAAAATCCCTGTGCTGTTCGACATCGGTGTATATATATATATATATATATATATATATATATATATATATATATATATATATATATATATACATAAGCATCCTCGGGGTTCCAGGCCCAACGTCTTTCGTTACAACTGTCCAAACGTTGGCTCATTCGTGCGAATTGAACAAGCACGGCAAGTAACTGATTAGATTTTTAGTGAGTTGTAAGCGGCTAAATTACCATGAGAACCGCAGGCTGCATAGGAAAATAATGCGTTCCGCTAACCACCTTATCTGCGACTTCTGTCAAGGCTCTTGGTACCCATTATTTTTTTACCCTCTTGCAAGTAACTATGTAGTGCTCAATGTTTTCATTGCAATTCACACCATGGATATAGAGATTCATTGTTTTTCTAGCCATGTCTAAGCTACGTTCGTGCTCATACTGTGTAACATGCCTAGGTCCCCGCAACATACCAACTTGAGGGATTCTGCAGTCACAGGGGGTCATCCACCATGTTATTCTCTTCATTCCGCATTGGCCGGAGACACATTATGCCCACTATCCTATGCGGCGTAAAGCGAAGCAATCGCGTAGGGTTGTTGGACCTATTATTTGCCTTCATCCTGCGCATTGCAAACACCCGGTTGCACTAGGACTGAGGTATGTACACTTGAGTTGTGTTTTACTTAACTGTACCGTAGATAAACGTTTCGGCTTCATTTCTTGGTTAGACCCGAGAGTTTTTAAGTGTTACTCGGGCACTAAGCGTGTCTGTCGTTTCCACAACTCGCTTATCGCCACAGTAGAGTATACAACCACATCTGCCAGCGGTTGAGTAACTGGATGTTATGCAGGCTACTACTTGTAAATTGGCTAACAGTTCGAACACTTTTCCGAAAGCCGAATGTAAGACAGAACGCAGCGAGATTTACTGGAAGTATTCTTAATATGATCGCGTTAAAGCGGTTATCAGAGAATGTGTTATATTACCGACTTCTAACGCATATAGCAGATGGCATCTGCCGCATACACTAACGATAAGACATCACTGTTTTACTGTACACCTTATTTGTGCATCATTCCACCTAGTAACCATATTGATGGCATTTGCTTCCCTATTCCTCCATCTGCCTCTATCTATTGTTGGTGCCCACACTTCTAACTAAGTTTATGATTGCCATTTAGATTCATGTTTAGATGTTAACCAACCACCGACAGTCATATTGGTTGCTTCTAATTGTACGTGTTATTTTCCAACACTGGAGGAATATGGCTGTTATATTCAATCCATACTCATGCACGTTCGTAGTGTTATTGCTTAGGCGGGTTCTTGTTTCTCCATCCAATTTGTGCTAATGCATGCAAAATGTGAACAAAAGCCCGCTCTCATCATTGCAAAACTGCAACTTGAACCAGGGGCCTTTGATATGTCAACTGATATCTCATTTTGAATAACTAAGTGGAATCCATTTAGAAACACTTGTAAACGCCACAACTAAGCTTGACAGACTGATCGCGTTTTCACTCGCGTGACACCATTCTCTGCTGGCTCGATGTCTAAATGGGGCTCGCCGAAATTACAAGTTGCGCTAACATCTATTTGTGTCTCGCTATGCTCTCACTTGACAGATGGGTCTTATTACATTTTTTCATGTGTGACACCGTGACTTTTTGCGGGTTGCAATATGAGGTCAATGTATCCCATCTCAAGGTCCTCGGTACGCCCCCTTGTACTGCTGCCGCCTTCAGGTAAGCGCACTGAGATTCAGACAAGTCATCAAGGTTGATTCCGGAACAGCGACAACACGATGTGATATGCAAATCGAAATGCTTGGGCACAGGTAGCATTCTAAGCGCTGATGAATTCGTCAAGATATGCTAGCGGTCTGAACGAATGACCAGGGGGAAATAATTAGTGACACACGATGGACTGCCTGGTGGTTCCACAAAACTGTTAATTCTCGCTCACCTCGGACAAGAGACGATTATAACCGGCTCTGGGTTAACTTCCGACACGGAGATGGCATTCACAGCACACACCAACGATAAGTCAACACTGTTCCACTATGCTTCCAGTTCAACGTTAAAGTGAGCATATCTATAATTCCCGTTCTTTCACCGCGGACTCTAATTTATCTGAGCTTATAAAAATCAGTAGACTTAATCGCACCATTTCCCTGTTAACTTACAAAATTGCTTATTCCATCTCCATCATCTTCTTTGTACCATCCTTATTTTATATCCCGCATGTAAGTTGCGCTTGGGTACAGTTTCACTCTAGAATGATTAACCACTGATTTGGTGCAACGTAGTATATTTATCGCACCCGCCTAGAACGGATGCGTCCCATCTAACCTACCTTTATAGGGCTTACCTAACTCGGTTGTATTTCACGATTATTTCACGTGTTGTCGACTACACTGTTGTACTCATCATGATCTATGATACCCTTGGTACCTTCTTAAGTGAAGTCTACTATGGTGACATACCGAGACGACAAGCTACGGCATCTTCCACTTCGTATTAGTATTCGGCCGCGATTCACATCACTATGTAAGCTCCATGGTATTGCTCACCAGACTATGCTACCTACATCCTGCTCCTTGAAATTGGTTTGTAGATTACATGACCTTAGCTTGACCAGCCGGATAAAGGTTCAGTCTATCCATGAGCTCATTCGTATTAGATGTGCACGCGGTTTCCGAGCGAACTGTGCTGTTGATACGGATCAATGCTATGGTGGCAAATTATTGAGTATGTTTCCAGTCCGTAAAGATACGTGTGAACCAAGGGTTACCAGCGCTTGGACGCTTACAGTACGCATAAAGTTTGACATCTGAAGCACACAATGCACAGCGATCATCCCTGCTATGA